TCCCAAGTTATAGAAGTCAATAGTTTTCTATTGTTTATATATCATGATGTGTCAATTTTCTTTGGTTATTTTTACAATTTTTGTTTTATCATTGGTTTAAAATTTCTGGTTAGGTGATTTGACTAGATTATGCCATAGAGTAGTTCTATTATTTTATTTAGGGTTCCTTAAACTTCTTGGATCTTTTGGTTTATAGTTTTTCACACATTTGTAAGCATTTGACCATGATTTTTTTTGAAGTTTTTTCTGTTTCCCTTTTCTTCTTTGATTATGTGTACTATATGACAAATGTCAGATTGCTTGATTATTGTTCCACACAAAACTGATGTTCTCTATATTTTTTTTGGCATTTTCTATCCATCAATTTGAATAGTTTGTATTACTGTGTCTTCAAAAACTGCCATTTTTCCTCCACACTGTCTAATATAATTGCTGTAAAACCTACCCAATTACATTTCATTTCACATACAGCAATTTTCAGCTTTACCACTTTCTATTGTGCATTTTTTTGGTAGTCTACATCTCTTTCCTCATTATCTTCACATTTTCTTTTAAATCCTTCAACATATTATACTATTCTAATGTTAAAATATTATTTTAAGGGGCTAGGGTTGTGGCTCAGCAGTAGAGCACTCGCCTAGTCCATGAGAGGCGCTGGGTTCAATCCTCAGCATCACATAAAAATAAATAAAATAAAGGCATGTGTCTCAACAACAACTAAAAAAAATTTAAAAAAATATTATTTTAACATGTCTGTTAATTCTAACATCTCTATCATTTCTGGGACTGTTTCTATTAACTTATTTTTCTCCTGATTTGGGGTCAGGTTCTTGTTACTTCTATTAATTTTTTAAAATTTATATATGACAGCAGAATGCATTACAATTCTTATTACACATATAGAGCATAATTTTTCATATCTCTGGTTGTATACACAGTATATGCACACCAATTTGTGTCTTTATACCTGCTTTGGATAATAATTATCATTACATTTCACCATCATTAATAACCCCAGGCCCCCTCCCTTCCCCTCCAACCCCTCTGCCCTATCTAGAGTTTATCTATTCCTCCCATGCTCCCGCTCCCTATCCCACTATGAATTAGTCTCCCTATATCAAAGAAAATATTCGGCATTTGGTTTTTTGGGATTGGCCAACTTCACTTAGCATTATCTTCTCTACTCCATCCATTAACCTGCAAATGCCATGATTTTATTCTCTTTTATTGCTGAGTAATATTCCATTGTATATATATGCCACATTTCTTTTATCCATTCCTCTATTGAAGGGCATATAGGTTGGTTCTACAGTTGAGCTATTGTGAACTGTGCTGCTATAAACATGGATGTGGCTATGTCCCTGTAGTATGCTGTTTTTAAGTCCGGGTATAGACTGAGGAGAGGGATAGCTGGGTCAAATGGTGGTTCCATTCCCAATTTTCCAAGAAATCTCCATACTGTTTTCCATATTGGCTGCACCAATTTGCAGTCCCACCAGCAATGTATGAGTGCACCTTTTCCCCCACATCCTTGCCAACACTTATTGTTGTTTGTATGTATAATAGCTGCCATTCTGACTGGAGTGAGATGGAATCTTAAAGTAGTTTTGATTTGCATTTCTCTAATTGCTAGTGATGATGAACATTTCTTCATGTATTTGTTGAATGATTGTACACCATCTTCTGAGAAGTGTTTCTTCAGGTCCTTGGCCCATTTATTAATTGGGTTATTTGTTGTTTTGGTGTTTAGCTTTTTGAGTTCTTTATATACCCTAGAGATTAGTGCTCTATCTGATGTGTGAGGGGTAAAGACTTGCTCCCAAGATGTAGGCTCTCTATTCATCTCATATTGTTTCTTTTGCTGTGAAGAAACTTTCTAGTTTGAGTCCATCCCATTTATTGATTCTTGATTTTAATTCTTGCACCACAGGAGTCTTATTAAGGAATCTGGCACCAAAACAGACTGGTAGACCAATGCCAATTGTACAGAATAGAGGACACAGAGACTAACCCACAAAATCACAATTATCTTAAATTAGACAAAGGTGCCAAGAACATGCATTGGAGAAAAGATAGTCTCTTCAACAAATCGTGCCGAGAAAACTGGAAATCCATATGCAACGAAATGAAATTAAACCCCTATCTCTCACCATGCAAACTCAACTCAAAATGGATCAAGGACTTAGGAATACAACCAGAGACCCTGCATCTAATAGAAGAAAAGGCTTTATTAATTTTTTATTTGATTCTGGAGATTAGGAATATTACATTGTTGGGAGTGAAATTTGGTGTCCTCTTTAAAAGTGACAGAATATCGGGGCTGGGGATGTGGCTCAAGTGGTAGCGYGCTCGCCTGGCATGCGTGTGGCCCGGGTTCGATCCTCAGCACCACATCCAAACAAAGATGTTGTGTCCACCGAAAACTAAAAAATAAATATTAAAAATTTCTCTCTCTCTCCCTCTCAAAAAAAAAGTGATAGAATATCATTCTGTCAGGTATTTCACTTGTACATCAGCTTGAACCTTTTGAGGGTTGTTTTTTTCTAAATTTCTAAGAGAAGGTCTAGAGTAAATTTAATCTTAAGGAGAGGCCTTTTAATTTTTCTTCCAAATGCCCCAGATGTTCAGAAAGGTCTACCTACTCTGATTTAACTTTAACACCTTCCAATTATATGTAAGTTCTGATAATTGTTCAGTTTACAGCTTCCTGATAGTTGTTTTTTCCTCAGAAACTATTTTCTGTCCCCATCTGATGGAGCACATACCAAACACATGCATAGTGCACAATACAGCCATAGCTTTTCTCAGTTTTACTGTCTCACATTTTCCTCGTAGTTTTTTATTATGGACATCTAATTTCTTGGTCCTTTTTTCCCTTCCTATGTTATTCATGGGTAATATATCTTTATCTTTCCAAAGACTTTAATAGTGTTTTGTTGTTGTTTTCAGTTCATGCACTCATTGTACATTTCCACAACATACTTTGTTTCTTTTGCTCTCTTTGAAGTTGTGGACTTTCCTCAAAATCCTAATGATCCTTGGCTGTGCCTGTTTTTTGCAGTGCTCTATAACTGCCTGGGAGGGCTTGGTGCAAGGCTGGTCTCTTCTGGTAGCCTTCATTGTTGGACAATTAGATGGCAAGATGGCTTTTGCTTAGAGTGCAAAAGGGATCACCCCTTATATATCTATATCCAGACATTTAGTGACTATGTAGTGTCTCCTGAGAAAACACGTTCAGTCTTGTTATGGTTTGGATGTGAAGTGTACCCCAAAAGCTCACGTGTGAAACAATGCAAGAAGGTTCACAGGAGAAACGATTAGGTTCTAAGAGTCTTRACCCAATCAGTGAATTAATCCCCTGATAGGGATTAASTGAGTGGTAACTGAAGTGGTAGGGTGTGGCTGGAGGAGGTGGGAATTGGGGGCGTGGCTTTGGGGTATATTTGTATCTGGCGGGTAGAGTCTCTTTACTTTCTGATCATCATATGAGATGTTTTCCTCTGCCTCACTCTTCAGCCATGATGAAGCTGGCTGCATATGGACTGAGACCTCTGAAACCATGAGCCCTTAAATAAATTTTTCCTCTTCTACAATTGTTCTGGTCTGGTCTTTAAGTTACAGCAGCAAAAAAAGCTGACCACAACAAGTTTCTCATACTTAATGGGGAAGGGAGCAAGGAATCTAAATCAATTACTATGCAGACTTCCATTTTATCTATTTTCAGTACTTTTCTGTTTCCCTAGTTGTGCCTGCTATCCCAGAGTCTGCAGCTTCTCTGTTTCAATTAGAAGAAACTTTTTGTGTGTGTGTGTGTGGTGCTGGGGACTGAACCCAGGACCTTGTGCATGCTAGGCAAGCACTCTACCAACTGAGCTATATCCCCAGCCCTAGAAGAAACTTTTGATCATTTTATCTAATTCTAATTTTGTGGATAAAGAGAGTAAGACTCAGAAAATTCATTTTATCAATGTAACATTGTCAATAAATGGAGAATGTGATTCTTGAATCTAGGCTGCTGACTCCTGCTGTAATGTTCTGGTCAGCTAAAGCATGCTTCCAAAAATGTCATAGATGACTCAAAATTCTTTGTAGCTGTCTGGAAATCTTGATAAACTTTCAGGAATTGGGTCATGATAGTTAAAAGCTCCAGTAAGATTGAAATAAATGAAGATTCACATCAGATCCCACTAGAGTGACAAGACGAAGGTAAGGAACCCTAATAAATTTTGAATTTTAGTTAGTTTCCTTCAGTTTCAAGGTTGCACAATGGTTTTATTCAACTTTGAAGTCTGATGAGTGAAAAAAAATCAATGGGTAGACTATCAAAATATCTCTTAATTAGGAGAACACTAACCTGGGTTAGAATGATAGTGACATACTTTCATACAGTTGTCTCCTAAATAATATTCCACAGAAAACTCGTTCTCCTGAGTAATAGATACTACTTGAGAAAAAAAATTTCATAATCAAGAAAGTGTAGGCAATAGTAGGTTAAAGGAATCTAAACTGGTTTAATCCAGGACCTTTCAAAACTTTTAATAGGTAAGTAACACTTCAACAGGAAAATATATAGGACATGCAGCTTTTGCCTGGGGTATTTTAGCACAGATCTTTTTTTTTTTTTTTTTTTTTTACCCCTTGCAACTCATAAGACTAGTGTTCAAGGAGGATGTTCTGGGAAATGTGATCTGACCCACTATTATATTTCTGAATGCTGTGTTATGGAATGCTTTGGGTAAGAACATGAACTTGCTCTTCTTAACAACAACTGTTCACCCTAACATCAATCATGAGAGGGTAGAGATTATGCTATTATTTAAAATATACATGAATTAAGTTCATGTCTAAATATAACTGATTATTGTTTATAGATAAAGATACTTCATTCTTGATCCCTGCCACCCTCCCCCGAAAAAGTTTCTGCAACAACAGTGAGCAACAAAGTACTAATCCACATTATTGCTAAATATTTAAAACAAAGAGTTGTCCCCAACACATACTATTCAGCCTGGAAGTGGGTCTGGCAGTGGTGGACTGAAGTGAAGCTGGCAGGATCTCTGACTTGACAGTTACACTGGTGACTGTAGCATCCATCCTGTCGGTCTCACACAGGCCTGGCAGCTGTGCTGCCTTCTCCAGAGTGGGCAGTAACTGATCAAACTGCTCAAGGTCAGCTGTAAACTAAGAAAGGAACCAAAAGTTAACAAAAGTTAGAGAAAATACGCTTTACATTTTCACTTGAAACAATGTAGAAATAAAGTTGCTCCTCTGAACTCTACAAATTAAATGTGAATATGTAAGACAGAAGAGATAATTAGAGCATTCTATCTATTCCACTGGGAAGAAAAAGAAACACTGGATGCTTACAATAATATACTACAGGATATAAGATAATATACATGTAGTATGTATTTAATGTCATTTGTTTATAAGAAAAGGATTGAACTAGAAAAAAACCGTCAAAAATACTATGTTTTAATGGCATTATGGGTTATTTCTTTTTCTGTCATAGTTTTCAAAATTTTGCAGAATGACCTACTTTACTTTTAGATACATTTAATTTAAAAGTTTGAGGAAATGTTTTAAAGTTAATAGTATATCATTCTTCAAAGATCTCAGAAAAGTTATTTCCCACTTAAGGATTTAATAGCTTAACAAACACCTTTTAGAATAGGGAGTTACTAATCTGCCTGAGGTAATATATAGAAGAAAACTGACCTTTTTTTTACAAAATAATTATACCACTGTTTTTCTGAGATAATTAATTAATATAAAATATCTTTCTGTTTGGGTTTCATTATTTAATTCAACTAAATTTTTTTTCTTTCTAGATTCTAGAATTATATGTCTGTATTTTTAATGTCTTTTTTCAAAATTATATTTCTAAAGTTCAGACACATTGTCACATGTAGCAGTTCACTCATTTTCATYGTTAAATAATATCCTATTGTTTGACTATGTCACAATATAATTATCCATTCTTCTGTGATGGATTTTTGAGTTGTTTCCAGCTTTTGGCTAATACAAGTAAAGCTGCTATGAACATTTTTGAATATGTCTTCGTTACATGTGCCAAAAGCACTACCTATAAAGGAAAAGATTGACAAATTCAACTATATTAAAATGAAGAACTTTATAAAAAAAGACCATTATGGAATGAGAAGGGCTGGGTTGTGGCTCAGCGGTACAGTATTCGCCTAGCACGTGCAAGGCCCTGGGTTCAATCCTCAGCACCACATAAAAATAAATAAAATAAAGGTATTGTGTCCAACTACAACTAAAAAATAAATGTTTAAAAAAGAGAGAGAGAATAAAAAGATAAGCCACAGAACACAGAAGGTATCTGCAAACATATAACCAAGAAATGTCTCACATCCAAAATACATAAGGAACACGTATAAAAGTCAATAAATAAAGAACAACAGATTAGAAATCATGGGCAAGAGACTAGACTAGGCAAAAAAAGATATCTGGGACTGGGGCTCAGTGGTAGCACACTTTCATTGCATGTGTGGGGCACTGGGTTCAATTCTCAGCACTGCATATAAATAAATAAAATAAAGGTCTATTAACAAATAGAAAAAATATTTTAAAAAACCCAACTAACCAATGACTATTTACCAGAGAAATGCAAATTAAAACTATGAGCTACAATTTTTCATATCCTGGAAGGTTCAACTTAAAAGACTGACAATACCAGGCATTAGCAAGGACAAAGAACAACTAGATGGAATTCTCACTCACTAGAAAATGCGCAATTACCGGGCTGGGGTTGTGGCTCAGTGGCAGAGTGCTTGCCTTGCACGTGTGAGGCACTGGGTTCGATTCTCAGCACCACATAAAAAATAAATAAACAAAATAAAGATACTGTGTCCATGTATAACTAAAACAATATATATTTTTTAAAAAAGAAAATGCACAATACCTAACAGAAGAGATTGTCTGCATATCTTATGATCATGCAATTCTACTCCTAGTTATAAACTTGGCAGAAATGCATGCATATGGGCACCAGAACAGATGTACCAGCACATTAGAACTACACAATGGCATTGTATTATTAAAATGTTACTTTTAAAATTTTTAAGTGTTTAAAGTTGTTTTTATGTTTTAAAAGAAAAACAATATTAGTTTCACTGTTCCAAGAAATACGAGACACAGCTTTATCCTCAAAGAGCACACATATAAAGAAGTAGTAAAAACAGTGTTACTATAAATAGTAAACAGACAATACAAAGCTTTATGAGAGTAGAGAGAGGAAGGGGTTATTTGGGGAAAGCTTTAGAGAGATGCTATCAGATACAAGGTGGTTTGTGAAGGATTAGTAGAAGTTCAGCAGGCACAGAGAGAAGGGCAAGGCAGAAGATGCTTAGTGGAACATAGCTTAGCCTGAGGATGGCAAGGGCTTCTATATGCCTAGATTGTAGTATGCCTATGGAAGAGAGAGACTTTTGTGAGATGAGGGCAGAAAATCAAGCTGGTTCAAGAAACTGAAGGACCCAGGTAAGTGTGAATCTTGTTTCACAATGGAGAGTCTTGTTGGTTAATTGTTTTATAAATACATGCTATTTATTGAGTGTCACCTATTTCATGAGTGTCTCTATTCTGTCTCTAAATAATCTGAAAGCTCTTTGTGTGGAGGCATCATATACTTTTTTCTTATATTCCTTTAAAGTTCATAAACAATTATTCAATACAGGAAACTACCTGTTTATTTTCATACTAGCCCCACTCCACCCTAAGCATGGGGCCTCCTTATCTATAACAATTTATGAATTTTTAAAAATTTACTTCTGTTTCAGGGCATGTGATAGAAAGGCAATATTCCCCTACCCAGGATATTCAACAATCAGATGAGAACAAAGGCAGCCTGAGAAAATGCCTGAACAAGGTACCCTTGTCTAACTCCTCACATTTCTCTCCCACCTCATTTGTATCTGAGGTTTTCAAATTTAACTACACATTGGAGTTATCTGGATTGTGTCTTTAAAATGCAGATCCCTAGGTTCTACCCCAGAGTTGGATTAAATATGTGGTGTTGGGAGGAGGGAGCAGGAAAGGGGAAGGTATTTTTGAAAAATGTTCAGAGATGTAAACTCTGATTTCATAGAAAGAAATAAAAATCAACTTTTTATAATGCTACGTTAATACTGTAGCCCCCTAAAGTTCTAAAGAGAATTTCTGAGAGCATCACTGGATTTTTCAATCTTTGATACTAACCTCTTAATATATGCCCAATAGATAGAACAAAACACAGCAGAATCCAGACCTAGTCAATGGCTGGAGTAGAATAAATGGGGGAAAAAAAAAACAACTAGAAATGGCCATTCTGAGAAGCAAGAAATCACCTACCTGGCTCTGGGACTCCAGTTTAATCTCTTCAGGAGCGGGTTTGGTCATCGGGGTTGGGTTTGTGTTACAAGGATCCATCTGATCTTTCTTTTCCACTTTCACCTTTACATCATCCAGGCTAAGGTTTGGAGTTGATCTTAAATCTTTCTCATCTTTGTCTAAAAGGTAGCGCAGGAGCTGATGGTCTTTTGATTCTTTTTTCTTTGAAGTATCCAGTTCTAGTTTTATATTGGAGTTTCCTTGGGCCTGTCCAGTTACTGACACAGAAGTAGATGCACTGTCCTTTTTATCGGGCTCCACGGACAAAGTGGTGATATCTGAGGGACTTCCCTCTTGTAAGAGTCGGTGCAGAATTTTGTGCCGCTCTGTCAGCGAGCTATGAGAGGAGGGGCAAGTACCTCCTGAAGAGTTAGCAGACGCAGAGCTGGAAGTGCCCGTGCAAGACAGTACTTCTTTGCAGCTTGTGTCTATATCAGCATGCCGTAACTGCTGTTCTGCAGTTGTTGTCAAAAGCTGCACTAGTTTGTGACTGGTTTGAGAGTATTTACTGTCTGCATCTGAGAGTCTGTCATTGTTATGCAGAAGCCCTGAATCCAGGGGTTTGCTATCACTAGCACTGTTGTCAGACTGTATCATTTCATTTAAAATGGATGCAATCTCTTTGTTATCTTTGGACTCAGCTTTTGCTGGTTGTATATTTAATCTACTAGGTGAATTCTGTGAGCTCATCTGCCTGAGGACTGGAGAACTGGCAGAGAAGCCAACAGAGTTATTGGGTCCTTCATTCATGCCTTGTAAAGATGTTACAGGGATGTTTGAATAAGATCGATTACTATTATTACAGGCACTACTTGTCATGCCAACTGGGGAGTTTAATGTTGGAATATTTGGAGGAAATGAATTGTTTGGCATCCTGGCCCTTGTTGCCAAGCCAGAAGTAACCTGTCTCCTTGGAGACATGAACTGTGCTAGGGAAATTCCTGTACCTTCCATAGGAGAATTATTGAGGTTTAAAGAGGGGTTACTGCTCTGGGAACTGGCCTGTCCCTGGTTTAAGGCAACATTGGCTACAATCTGATTTCCAGGTGAGCATCCAAAACTCCCTTGGTTGTTGCTAGAATTACTATGACTACTGCTGCTATGAAGGTCTGAGCTCTGATGGCGGTTTACTCTTGTGGATACCATGCTGCTGTTGGATGGTGCCAATGTGGATGAACGGGCCACACCATGAGCTGGAGAGATAYTAGGATTGACTGAGGGGTTTACTCGGGGAATTGACATTCCAGAATTAGTGTCATCTTGAGGAGAAAGCCCACTGTGTTCCCTAGGGGGAAAAAAGACATTATTATTCAAACACCTTGTTTCTATTTATAAGACAAAACTATTAAACTCACTAATGTTACAAGCTAACACTATCAAGTAAAGAGCTTCTGTATCACCTTAAATTAATGAAAAACAGTGGCACTGTGAAATAATCAGCACCCCTTCCTAGGAAAGAGTGCTTGTAGACCCTTAAATTGGAAAATGGTCTCAGTTACATGAAAAATAAATTATTCTTGGCATTGGAAAAAATTTAAGAGATGTACATTTAAAATTTTTCTAACCTTAATACAAATAATTAACATTATGGTAACACTTGTGGTTGAAATGAAACTTCCCACACCTTTGTTTATAAAGCACTTATTCATGATATTCCTGTTACAGCTTTTAAGTATTTCAACTCCAAAGAGGAAGACTGGGTAAGGAAAATACTGTGTCACTGATGTGAAAATTAAAAAGGGTGACATGCAGACATAGCAGATGTTTTGAAAGAGAAATCACAATATGAAAAAAAGAACTGCTAATTCCACTCACAAGAATAATTTCAACTAAAACTAGAAAAACAAAACCAAAAAACCAGAATGCTGAATTCAGGTTTTTACTGAGTTCTTTACTCAAGTTCACTATTATGACAACAGATTTGTGACTGGCATTACCATGTTCCAATAAGCAAAAACATCAAATGAGAAAAAGATGAAGTGAGGGGAAATGTCTTTTTTTTAATGCTACATTTTAAGCAGTTGTAAATGTAGGATTTTGAATAACTCTTAGGATAAAAGAATAGTTTTGCCATATTGAAAGATATTTTGAGAGGGAATAAATTAGTGGCAATAACATTAAAAAATCTCCTCAAGTTGATAGTTTAATATCATTAAAAGTTAAATAGTTGTAGTTTCTGTGAGAAACTGTCAATTGAACTCAAGCGCCATAAAGTTAAAATAGCAGTGTTAACAAACTCTAAAATCTCTTCTAAGATTGTAAGTTCGTATATGGAAAGTTGAACATTTTTAGGCACCTTTTATTTGTACCCCCTAAAACATACTTTCAGTCTCACATTTTCTATGTACCTTTATGAACAAGAAAGCTATCTGGCAACAAAACTTTAAAACCCAACACGGATAAATTGATTATATACTCATCATACTAGTTTTATGCCTAACTTAGAATTTCTGTTTTCTAGCTACCAAGAGTATAAAAATTTTCTTTAAGAAGAGATATGTGAACTGACTTATTTCATATGTAGCTCTCCAAATAAGTAGTACCTGTCGATGATATGAATTCCCATGATGAAAGGCTGCATGTCTGGACTTTGAGGGTAGCAAAGTTTACACTTGGTGTGGGCGCTAAGCATTGTCCCATCATTCAATATGAATCTATAGGATGGGCTGGAGGCAGTGCCACGAGTCATCACTGTTTCAAACAAAAGAGAAACCTAGTTAAAATCCTGATACTTGAACGTTGGGCAAAGGAAAATTACCAGGCCTTGTTTCTACCTAGGACTTCGTTTTAAATGTTTTCCCAATTGCTGCCCACTCAAAATCAAAAGAAAGTTCAGACAAAGCAGAAATCAGAGGAGGGAAATGAATCCATCTGAAATATACCACTAATTTACTCCTACTTCAATGGGTCCCTCCTCATATAAATTAGTTTTATGAAGAAACCTCAAATCAGGAAAAAATTAACCTTAATTGCTCACTACAATGGGACAGAATTCACTGTCTCTACTAAAAATACCAAGAAGTACTTTTCTCCCCTTCACTTTCTGTGTCATCTTTAACAAGTTATGTTGTGTTTTGTTTTTTTTGCTAGCTGATCTTTAAATAACAGCTCTATTGGGATATAATTCACAAACTATAAAAACTCACCCTTAAGTTTTGATTGGTTTGCAGCATTTCTTAACTAATAATAAAATTTAATTTTTCACTAAAAAATTTGAATTATTAAGGTCCCATTTAACAAATTATTAAATGCATATATATGTACTATTTTTTAATGTTTGAATTTTTGAAGTTTAGTAATAAGCAAATTAAGATAAAGCCAATGATTACTAACATAAGGAAGAAAACTAGATTAAAGCAGTCAAGTCACTTTACTTATTTTTAAAATCACTTTATAAATAACATCATTTATTTCTGTCTTAAACCTCTACTAACAGCAGACAAAAATTCTAACTGCAGAGATAAATACTTATTAAATATGTAAAAGCTATTCCAAACTACTAATAAAATGTTACTGATGTTTTAGTAATACAATGGAATTCTGTTTTAAGAGCAATTGGTTAGATTCAGMTATACCAAGGTAAAAAGTCATATCCACTGAAACACAAGAATTACTACCACAAATGGTTATTACAGTTTAACCAGTAATAAATATTAGTACTATATTTCAAGGACATTTCAGGAGGGGTTTCAATTATATTTTAAATGACATGTGAAAGAGACTTAAAATGATCAATTAGCAAATAATTTTTGAAGCTACATATTACTTTAAGAAAAAATATGCTCTATTTTATTGTCTTGGGTATGCAAATTGAATCTTGCACTATGCTTTGCTACAAAATCATCCAGTAAGTGCTAATTGATCTTTGATTTGAATCTCATCTAATTAAGCTAATGCTGATGTGTGATCAKCTGCCATAATTTTTTTAAGTATTGGGATTTGAACCTAGGGCCTCATACATACAAGGCAAGTACTCTTAACACTAAGCTATGTTATCAGCCTTCCCTTTTTTCCCTTTTAATTTCTCATTTAATTTTGAGATAGGGTGTTGATAAATTTCTCAGGGGCCTTGAACTTGCAATTCTCCCATCTTGGCCTCTTAAATAGCGCAACTTTTCTTTAAAGGACATATTTTCAATCTTAGTTCTCAAATATGTTTTTACTCTTATAGGAATCTGACTTAATTTTGTAATGGAAATTAATGAAAAGAAATTTCTTTATTGACAAGCCCTATAAAATGATTCTCAGGTCAAACTGAGAATTTTAAGATATATAATGTGGATTACAGAAACACCAATAGTCTTCTAGTTATGCTGTCTAAACTTGTAGAACTATATCTAAACTTGTAAAATTTTTGAAATTTGAGGCACTCAATTAATGCAAGAAAATTATCATACTACTTTAAGAGAAATTACCATTATTTTAAGAGAAAATATGCTCTACTTTAATGTTGGGTATCCAAATTAACTGAAGAAAGCAGAATCTACAGTAAATCTATACCATAACAAATCTGCCAAAGTACTAAAACTAGGATGTGAACTTAATTGAAATGATTAAGACTTATTATGTTCAAGATTTTTAGTTAGATTCTTTTTTTTTCTTTCAGTGTTGAACCCAAGACCTCACACAGGTGAAGTCAGGTTATTCATTTTTGATTATATTATGAGGAATAAGACAGCATATTACAATCTATAAAGTCAGAGTTGGAAATGAGAAAAAAGTTACATTTAATTTTTTTTCTTTTTTTTTTTTTTTGCTCTGCTAGGGATTGAACCCAATCCCTAGGAACATGCTAGGCAAGCACTCTATTCACTAAGCCATATTTACAGCTCTTAAAATGCCAATTAATTAGAACCCAATAAGTTTTTTCAGTTAACTAAAATTCTGGTGCTTAATTTTTCAGATGAAGAGGTAGTAAACAGCAAGGCAGCACAGATCAACTAAAAGAATAAGCCAAGGACTCAGATTTAGGCCTGATTTCTCACTGTGTCATTTGTAGATTTAGGATTTAGTGCAAATTAACATTAGTCAATTTCAGTTTATCATTACTTAAATGGAGCCAGTAAGATTGTGGGATAATATCTAAGCATAGAGCCTAGTACATAGCAGGTTTTGAATATTTCCTGAATCTAAAGCCCAAATAAACAATAAGCAGCTTATGAAGTACAAATGTCATACACACATTTAGTAATCCCTAAACCCCATTTATACCAATAGCTTCAATTATGTATAACCATCACCAACACTTTGTATTGAGAGATGAGTAAGGTACCCACAGCTATTTATGGACTCGGTTGGACAAACGTTTACTCTGCACACCAAATTTCCCTTTTAAGTGGGTTTTAATGTTTATTTTGATTACAGGCCTTGTCCTCACTTCTAATATAGTATTTCCAGCTACACAGCTAGTGGCATTTTGATCTCTGACTTTTTTGCTCATTTCTAAAACTTTTTGGAACATTTACTACACAGGGATATAACTGAATGGGTATTACTAATACCCTAAAAACCCTCCAAAAATCTTTATTGGGAAAACTTCATGTTTTTCTTTCCCAGAAAAGACTCAACCGATCTACACAGCCAAAGAAACATTAAATTTTCCTTGGTGATGCCAGCTAAGAAGTGGAGCTATTTGGAATTTTGATCCCTCCTAATTTGGTGATGAGGTAACCTCAAAATAAGCATTTCTCATCAATGTTCAAAAATGGGTGGTATAAAATGTATGGCAGGGTACAAAATATATGATGGGATACAAAATGTGTGATAGGTCAATGTTGGTATCAGTTTGTGTTTCTTTTTGGTATTTCCCTAGACATACAGAAAAGAATGCAATTTCTAAAAAATGTTATCAGTTAAAGAAAAATAATTGCTCCCGGAAGTTCTAAGATTGCCAATGAATAAACTCTATTCAGTGTATCAAAATTTCTATGGGAGGAAAGTAAACAAATATTCTAAATATTTTCAATGAAGTTTGACATAGAAAGATTTTCAGTTCACTCTGCCATGTATATCCTGGGTTTAACTACATTAAAAGAACATTTTGATTAATCATTAATATGGGTACCTATGCTTATAATATTTTCAAACTTCTTGATGCAATAAGCCCTTTCCCAAGTCTAGGTGTGATATCTTTTAAAAAACAAAAATACCTTCATTTGTAATTATAAAGTTAAGGTAATAGAAAGATGAACAAAGAACAAGTAAAGTCATTTGTAACCCCATCACTCAGAGATAACCACTATTAACATTTTGTTAATCTTCTAGAATAGGGTATATAGAAAAATATACAAGAAAAAGATCATACTCTATATTTCTTAGCCCACTTTTTCATATGTCATGAACACTTTGAAGACATGCTCTATTACATCACTATAAGTAGGTAAACAAAACTTTCATAAAACTAGTTTGTAGATTATATAGCCCATCATATAGCCCATATTTCCCATGACCAGCACTCTCCAAAACTGCAGATAGATGTGCTACAGGAAAAAAAGTATTCTGTGGAAAATAAGTCTTAGTAACAAAGTTTATTTAGTAGTGTGGGGGCAGGGCCAAATACCTTGGGAAGCATTCTAACCCAGACCCTCTTTTAAAGCAATGGTTCTGAACTGAACAGAACTTTGGAACTTTTTCCAAATTAACTCCAATTGCATGAAACTCCTCCTAGTTTTAAACAGTTCTTCAAGCAATCCTAATACCCACTTCCCCAGCCTCAATTGAGAACCACACGTGTAATCTAGTTCATGTAAAGTGCTCCCAAATATTCTTTAAAAATTTTTTTATTTCATTTATTGATTTTTATGTGGTGCTGAGGATCAAACCCAGTGCCTCACCTGTATGAGGCAAGCGCTCTGCCACTGAGCCCCAGCCCCAGCATCCAAGTATTCTTACATGACTATAATGCATTTCCAAATTTGACTGAGGAAAATAGTAAATGGCCTTTAAAACCACTTTTTGAGTTGTCTCTGCCAAAAGAAGCTGAAAAACTAAGCTAAGAACTAAAATTTTTAATGCATATTAGGATTTGACACCAGTTGCTGCTTTCAAAGAGTAAGTTAATGGGGCAAGAAAATGATGACAGATGGAGGACAAATATTTCTTGCCTAAATATCAATCACTATAAAGTTTTATGTGAAATCAAGATATAGTGTCATAATTTGTTTTACTCTTTTTCCAATTTATTTATTTATTTAAATTGACAGATGATCTTGTTTATCTATTCTGTATGATGCTTTGAATACATATTCATTGTGGATAATTAAATCTAGCTAATTAACCTGATATGGTTATCATTTTTGTGATGAGAAGGTCTAACATCTATTCTCCCAGTATTCCTTAAGAATACACTATCATTAATTATAGTCACTATACTACGAAATAGATGTCTTAAATGTCTTCTTTCTATCTAACTATAATCCTTAATCAACATCACCTCAATAACTCCTCTTGCCTCTGTCAAACACCCAGCCTTGGGTAACTACCATTCTACTCTCTATTTCTTGGAGATAAACTATTTTAGATTTCACAAATGAGTGAGATCATGTGGTATTTGTCTTTCTGAGCCTGAATTATAGTACTTAACAATCTCCAGGTTGATTCATGTTGTCACAAATGACAGTATTTCCTTCTTTTTTTATGGCTGAACATATTCCATTGTGAATATATATTGCATTTTCTTCATTTCCATTCATTCATTTGTTAAACGCCTGAGATTGTTTCCATATCTTGGCTATTATACTGAATATTACTGTAGTAAACATGGGAATGCAGATGTCTCTTCAACATACTGACTCAATTTCCTTTGAATGCATACCCAGGGGTGGGATTCCTGGGTCATCTGTTAGTTCTATTTTTAATTTTTTAAGAAACTGTCATACTGTTTTTCCATAACAGCTTTAACTAATTTACATTCTGATTGAAAGCATGCAAGGGTTCTCTTTTTCCCACATTCTCATCATCACTTGTTATCTTTCATTCTTTTTTTTTTTGATACCAGACATTGAACCCAGGGATATTCAACTGCTGAGCCACATTCCCAATCCTTTTCTTCTTTTGAGACAGGGTTTTGCTAAGTTGCTTAGGGCCTCACTAAGTTGTTGAAGTTGGCTTTAAACTTGCAATCCTCCTGCCTCAGCCTCCTGAGTAGCTGCAATTATAAGCGTGTGTGCCACCATGCCCAGCTTCTTTTGTCTTTTTGATAACAAACATTGTAACAGGAGTATGTCTCATTCATTTCACATTGTCCCTAAGTGAAGGAGGCAGAAAGAAAGCTGAAAATGCAAATTATACCTCTCTCCATTCTTAAGGAATCAATGGTTATTAAACTTAAGTATTATACTTGAGGCTGGCTAAGATAACTGAGCCTTCATCTGAGATTTTAATTCAACAGGTCAATATACTTAATGGGTGATTCTCACATAAGTGTTCCAGGGACCACATTTCTCCGACCAGTCTGCATAGTGCTGATCATAAAATATCAGAAAAGGATGTGCTCCATCCATGAAAGCTGTTTGGCAAAATATCCAGAATCTCCAAAGTACTACAATCAGAATCATGTAAACTGGATATCTTAACTCTAAGGCAACACAAGTCATTTCTAAAAATGAATTTAGAATTCATTTTCTAATTTAGAATTCATTGTCTAAAAAAGTTGATGGAGAAGACATAAAGAAACAACTACAGGGGAAGTGGTATTGGATTGTTTATATTCTTTACATTTGCCTCTAAATTGTTTCAATTCATATGTTAATGAGAGATTAGTTCCTTTAATCAATCTGTTTTATAGAGAATTCTAATGGTTTAGAAATATGTATCTTATAGTATGGCTCAATTTTATCTATGGGGAGCCCAGTCATTTGGACAATGAAATAATAATCTGGACTTCTTGTAGGAAATTTATATAAATTATAGGCAAATAAAATTAAGTCTTTTAAGTAAAGCCTCGGATGGCCTAATTTAAAGCAAAAGTCAAAGAGACCAACACAGTAGTACATCAGTGTGTTAGGCAGTGAGTGAAGACTATGTAAAAGTCAAATGCCACTCTGGGTAGAGGATATCACAAAGTTTGCACTGGTGGATGATTTTAGTTACTTATTATAATGGTTTCCAAACCTGGCTACACTCTGGGATTGCCTAGAGAACTTTAACAAAGTACAGATTCTTGGATCTACTTGGTGAAATACAACCTTGTGGGGTAGCATGAGCTTAGTAAGGCCCACTGGAGGCCAATGATCAGTAGGAAGAAGTAACCAGGACTGTGAAATTTATATAGATGGCTCCAAGAAAAAAAATCAAGCTACTTCCATATTTTATTAGGAAGCAATTGACCTAAAATGTAATGAATGGAAAAATCATCTGTAAACTGAGCAAATCTAATGCTATGAGGGAAATGTTAAAATTAAAAGGATAACAACAAGGAAAAAAATTTTAAATTTTTCTTCAGGAAAGCCACATACTCTAATTTATTCTGTAATCTTGAATTAGATAGCCATAGAAAGAGGCTAAATCAAGGTTACAGAATAAATTATATTGGAAAAGGAATATTAATTAGGCTGCCAAAATTACACAGCATTATTTTAGAAGTACATCAAAATCCCTTAATTCTGAATCTCTGTGAACTTTCTGACTTTAATTCTCAAATAATTTCCCTACCTATCTTATAGTACTATTTAATTCCTTCAGGATAAGGAATATGCTTTTTTTACATTCCCAAGAATTTACTAAGACAGTAGCTATTCAAGAGGTAGTAATTTTATAGGACATAGTTTTTGACTTGGAACTTCAACCTTCGTCAGGAGATACAGGTGCTTCAACAGTCATGAAGTTAACATGCACAGTACTGATCTCCATATCCAAAAGCTCTCTGGCATGCTTCTCTCCTGGGAATGATGTTTAGAGGCAGACAAAAATATCACTTCCTTTCTGAATTCATCCTTGATTCTCCAAGTCAGAATTAATTTTTTCTTTGGTTATACCGCTATTATATGTCACACTGATTTTTAGAGCTGTCATATATTTTCCTAATACATCCTGAGTTGATTAAAGGTAAAACCCTGATTCTTAGTCACCACTGTATCCCTGGTGCCTTATCACACAATGTTCTATGCATGTTAGGAATTTGATATATGTCTGCTGAATGAATGAACAAATGAATGAGTGAGTGACCACCACATGACATCCTGTTCTTTAGAATGTGCATCCTGAAATTTCAGGATCCACTCATGAGTTACTTTGCTTACCCATTTCTTCCTTTCCTACAACTGATTATTACAGAAACTATAATTTGGAGAAAATACTTATCAAGCCATAAGTTCTACACAAACTGTTCAATATTAATAAAGAGCAAGATTACTGAAAATAATTGAGAGAAAACTTTACCTTCTTGAAACAGTTGTCTGGCATAAGATGGCTCTCTGCCCTGAGGTTGGAAAAAAGCATAAATGCATTTTCTCACTAAATCTTCCCAGCCAGTTCTGCCAGCAGCTCTCAGAGAACTAGTATCGATAGAGATGATTTTACCTATGTAAAGAATAAAAGTTTACATTTCTGATAGCCTCTTAATACAAATCTTTCATATTTCAAAACTAAAAACTGCATCTAAGGAATATACTCTCTCTCCAATGCTTGACAGACACAAGCTTTAAAATCACTATTAATTTTTATTACATATGGTAATGTAATATATTAGAGACTTAATGAAGAATTGCTTTGGTTTTAAAGCATGTTATACACTAGTATAGCACAACTGAAAATTCAGTTCCAGCTGAATATTACAGCTATATCATAATGACCTGAAGTTGCTGAGACTAATGCAGTTCAAACTTCTCTGGCTTGCTCTTCGATTTGGCCTTTTATATGCTGATTTGGGAAAGAGAGGCAGTGATGAAAAGAATACTAGAAAGTAAGCAAGTTTTTCCCTTTCTAGGTAGAAAGGGCTATAGGCAACACTGATCTAAACAAAGACCGAGGCAACAGAAGTCAAATTAGAAAAAGAAAATAAGTGAAAACATTAAGATGTGCTAGGCATTATACACACAGAGCATACTGTTTTATAAAAGCCAGTGGTAATCTGCTGTTGTTGCCATATGTGATAAAATTTTCCATGTGGTTATGAGAGAATTTATTAGTTATTCATCAGTCAGGGGCCAATTAATCTAGTTTGTGATTCTTCAGATCTGTTTTATCATATATTTTATACAATCTTATATTCACACAAAATAACATAGGTTAAACATATTTAAATTAGAAATTATATTACATAACCTAGTATGTAAACCTACCATCCAACTTCAGAACTTGACATTACTAATATCACTCCATTATGCGCACATTCTGCCTTTGTCCCATTCCCATCTGTCTTTATTTCTCTTATGAATAGGCATCTAAAGTGGTCCCAGTTTTTTTGCCATTTCAATCAATGTTGCTATGAACATCTTTCACATGTCCCATGGTACATATATGTGAGAATTTCTCTAGGGTAGGACTAGAACTGGATTGCAGGTTTTTCAAATGTTCTTTATAACACTAACTTAAAACTACTTTTCAGAAACCTGTACCTACCAGCAATGTTTCAGAGTTATTGTTGGGGCTGGGAAATAGCTCAGTGGCAGAGCATGTGCTTAGCATGTATAAAGTTCCGAGTTTAATCTCCATCACCAAAAAATTTACTGCTAACCTAACATCCTTTCCATGACTTGGTATTGCCAGGTACCTTTATTTTTCAAATTAGTAGGTGAAAAATGGTATCTCATTGTGACCTAAATTTGAATTTCCTCAATTACTAATGATGTTGAGTATTTTTCATCTTTATTCACCATTAATATTTTCTCTGTGAATGCCGGATTGTGTTTTACCCATCTTCCTTTTCCCCATACAATCAACTCAGATCTATTACACTATGTATGCCTTCCCAGTTAACTAATTCCTTTTTTTAAAAAAAATTTTTTTAGTTGTTGACACATTTTTATTTTATTCATTTATTTATATGCAGTGCCAAGAGTCAAACCCAATGCCTCACACATGCAAGGCAAGTGCTCTACCACTGAGCCACAACCCCAGTCCCTTAACTAATTCCTTTTTTAAAAAATACATTTAGTTATAGATGGACACAATATCTTTATATTTTATTTATTTATATGAAGGTGCTGAAGATAAAACCCAGTGACTCACATCTGCTAGGCAAGTGCTGAGCCACAACCCCAGACCTGTGTCTATGTTTTTATGTCAATGTTGGCCCAGAAGACAGGAAGAGAGACTGGAATTGTGGGACTACAGTGGAAGAAGTGATTAAGTTGTCAGTAATGGTACTAAATGATGGGGTAATGCAATGACTACTTTAGAGGAGAATCATGAATAGCTTGATTTAGAATACTTCTGCTTGTCAGAGGAAAACTTAACCAATAACCACCAACCAACCAAATGGAAAACAACAACAAAAAACCACTCTTCAACATTTTCTGGTAAGAGGCTTTTTTCTTTTTCTTTTTAAGGGACATGGATTACCCCATGCAGAGTTAAAAGCACATTACTAAAATTTAAGAAAGTAATTATTGAATAATTATTTTAGTTTGTTATTATTTTTGGCAAAGTCAATTCTATGAYAAAATGTTAGTTTTACACTTTAGGTATATTTTATATTCCTCTGGTATCTTTGTACAAGTGTGTACAGCACAACGATGACTCTTTCAATAGTAGAAGGCAATATAATATAAAAGAAGAATTCTATATTCAGGGTAAAGATTTCTAATTCCAGTAATCAGTTATCATTTCTTCATTCACAAAATGAATAAGCTAGATTCTGTAGTCTTTGAGGTTCCCTCTGGATCAAAATTATTTATGGCCTAGAGGTTAATATTTYTATTTAAAATGATCATTGTTAATTTTATATATTTATGCATACTGTCAGGTATAGCTGAAACTTTAATTTTTGGTCCTTAGAAACAAAACTATCAGTATTATTAACATTGTTCCCATGGGAAAATACATTCTTTAAAATGATCCAATTTAGGATTTAATTAATTAGAAATGTAATATGAGGAAAAGCTAAAGTAGACTGCTCCTAAATTATCTTCTGAAATTTTAGGCCTCTCTCATTTCTGGCATTTATTCTGCAGTCTGACAGTCACCCTTTCCAACGAGTTTTCATTCTGTTATCTCATAAAGCCCTTATTTGGTTTCTTTTTATATTAACCAGATATTGACACAAAAGACCAGCTTTTGATTTTCAGTGAACTCTTATTTTTTCTTCATATAAAATATTTCTGGTTTTACTACGGGTTCATTTATTTTTCCAGTGCTGTTCACTGGTAAAAAATGGAAAGCAACATGAATCATGGTAGACTCAAAAAGGGAATGAAGGAAAGTGTGATAATTATTAACTACTATCTTCAGGTGCTGTCTCTCCAAGCTCATAAACATTCTCCTTACCATTTTCTGTGCTAATTTATCCATACCCACTCTTTAGGAAAAGCAGTTGGAGCTGGGCATGGTGGTACATGCCTGTAATTTCAGCAACACAGGAAGCTGAGGTGGAAGAATTGCAAGTCAGAGGTCAGCCTTGGCAACTTATAAGACCCTGACTCAAATAAAAATTAAAAAGGGCTGGGGTGTTGCTCACTGGTAAAGCACCACTGAGTTCAGTCCCCAGCATCACGCACACACAAGCAAAGCAGCTGGGAGCTTATTTTTCAAAAACTAAAACCAAGCATATAACACAAGAATATTAGATTTTAGGAACTAAAATATTTATTAAACATAAAGATCATGTAAATAATGACATAAGTAAAAAAATTCACTTAATTAAAACTGAATTTCAACAAATAATAAAATTCAATAGAAGTGTTTTTTTTTTTTTTTTTTTTTAGCTAAAATCTATGTCATTTATTTAGTCAAAATACTACAGGGAAACAGCCACATCAATGTTTATAGCAGCACAATTCACAATAGCTAGACTATGGAACCAACCAAGATGCCCTTCAATGGATGAATGGATAAAAAAAACGTGGCATATATACACAATGGAATATTACTCATCACTAAAAAATAATAAGATCATGGCATTTGCAGGGAAATGGATGGCATTAGAGCAGATTATGCTAAGTGAAGTTAGCCAATCCCTAAAAAACAAATGCCAAATGTCTTCTCTGATATAAGGCGGGGTGACTCAAAATGGGGTAGGGAGGAAGGGCATGAAAAGAAGATTATCACTAAATAAGGAAGAGAGGTGAGAGCGAAAGGGAGGGAGAAGGGGAATTGCACGGAAGATGGAAGGAKACCCTCATTGTTATACAGAATACATGTATGATGAAGTGAGGAAAAAGAAAAAAAAAAGGAGTGTGTCACATTTGATTGGGTAGAGAGAAGTGATGGGAGGGGAGGGGAGGGGGGAAAGGAAGGACAGCAGAATAAAACAGACATTATTATTGCTGTGGGTATATACGTGACTGCATGACCAATGTGATTCTGCTACCTGTACAATCAGAAAAATGAGAAATTATACCCCATCTGATTCAAATGTATGATATGTCAAGATCATTGTAGTGTCATGTGTAACTAATTAAAACAAATTAAAAAAAAGCAAAAAAATCACATTTTACTCAAATGTATATTTCCCATTATTTACCTATATATTAAAATTAGGTGAGTAATAGAGATTTAACTCTGATTGATGTAAAAGCATGAACACCTGATGTGTTAGGATGAAGATAAAATTAATCAATTTAGGACAAATGTATAGGAATTACAAAGAACAATAGCAATTTAAAATTTTTTTTTTAGTTGTAGTTGGACACAATACCTTTATTTTATTTATTTTYATGTGGTGCTGAGGATCAAACTYGCACATGCTAGGCGAGTGCTCTACCACTGAGCCACAACCCTAGCCCCCAACAATAGAAATTTCTCACTGAAAAACAAATTAAAGTCAGACTTTCAAAAGAAGGGCTTAGGGGCTGGGGATGTGGCTCAAGTGGTAGCGTGCTCACATGGCATGTGCATGGGGCTGGGTGCGATCCTCAGCACCACATACAAATAAAGATGTTGTGTCTGCCGAAAACTAAAAATATATATATATATATATAAAAAGAAGGGCTTATTTTCAGGGACTCTCCTCATTACCCACTTTGCATCTCTGTTGCCCTTCTGTTAGTTCTTCCAACATACCTCTCTACTTTATTTGTCTTAGGGCATTTTCAGTTGTTTCCTCAATGAGGAGTACTCACTCTGCACTAAGACCCTTCCTCAATGTCCCCTTCCAACACCCACACTTGGACAGCTGGCATTACTTTATCCTTTGGGACCCAAGGGCTCAATATCAGCTTGAGCCTCAGATAGGCTTTTTAGAGCCGCTGATTTTAAAGCAGATCCTCCTTTACACCACCTCCCACACTTAGCATCATAAAACATACCACAATTTATAATTACATCATTGATTTTTGCTCAACCGTATACACCATGAGCAATCATACATAGTGACAGCTACTCAGAACTCAATCAGTACGTGCCAAATAAATTTAAAGAAAAAAGAGAAACGGTATATACATTTAAGCATAATATTAAAACCACTATATGCATACCCCTTTGTAAATATATTTATGAATATCTACATATATTGATGTATCTATTGTTTCAAAATTTCTTTAAACATTTTTCCATAATTGTAAAAAAATTATAACCAAATATAGGCATATGAATAGTTAAATAAATATTGTTCTCTCCAGCACCCTGTTTTATGACAATGATGATAGCATCTAAAATGCACAATATCAAGAAGACTATTCAAAATATTTTCTGTATAAGACACAGAAAGCAAAGGCTGAATATCACAGAACAGGAGGATATAACATTTTGAATATAATCAGTTTTAAGGGCAGAATCATATGATGAATACCTCTGGAACATTCTGAACTTTATAGTAAGTACCTGTAGTATCTTGCTTTGTCATAAACGATTCTACACCCGTAATAGCTGGAGGCCGAGGTAATCTCCGTGCAATACAAATCAAACATGACTGGAAATCTGTCCAAAAAAAGGAGAAATTGAGGAAAGAAGGTAGAGACAATGGCTTATAACTATCTGATGTTAAAGATTTTTATAAAAACAATATATATTACAAGATTTGACATAATATTTGTAATCTCTTTGGTCTAAGAGTATACTAAAGTTTCTAGCAACCAGAAACTGGCAGCTCTCGTTAGAAGAAAGTTAAAATATTCCTTCCCATGGAATGCTCTTACATAAAGTAGAAACAAATACATCTCATGTATTTGGATGATAACAATTGGAAGTACTAATTTTGGTTAGATTTAAGCAGCACCATGTTTTGTTTTTTGGTGCTGAGGATTAAATCCAAGACTTTTGCACATGCTAAGCAGTTGCTCTACCCCTGAGCTACATCCTGAGCTCTTAACACTTTGTGTTTTAAAGTATACTTTTTTAGTCAATTTCCTGAACCCATCAGTACTTTAGGGTTACAAAAAAGTATTCTGATAACCACCATGAAGATAATTATTACATGTGAAAACAATCTTTACTTCTAGAGAAGTATTATTTTTCTGACAGATAACTGTTTTTAGGATACACAATATTTTTTTAAGTCCCATTCTTAAATTTTGGCTCCCTTTCTTGGTCCTTACTCCAGTTCCAATTTGTGGTTCCTAAACTTAGCTCAGTCAAAGTGTACATGGAAGAGTTATCCACTGTCACATATTTAAGTCCATGCCAATACCATGTTCATATTAGAGCTTCAGCAACATTTTCATCTAATCACAAGCCTTCTACTTATAAATTATCTTTCATAGCCTGAGAAATATCTATTCTATGCTTTAATGTTCCCTACATTCTAAACTTGAAACTTTCTAAAAATCTGAGCTGTTCAATAGCTGTGGTACATTTCCAACTGACAACAGTTAGTTACAGCTCTTATTTCTTGAGAGTAAGTTGGTTTAAATTATTTGACATTTTAGTGCGTCACCTTATAGCTGAGAGTTTGGAGGTATGTTAAAGGGGTGATTCTAGATGTTAGTAATTTTTTAAAATATTAATACATAGCAGCTGGGCATGGTGGCACATGTCTAAAATTCTAGCAGCTCAGGAGGCTGAGGCAGTTCAAAGCCAGTGTTAGCAACTCAGTGATGCCCTAAGCAACTTATTAAAACCCTGTTTCTAAATAAAATACTTTAAAGGGTGTGGGGATGTGGCTTAGTGGTTAAGCACTCCCTGGTACAAAAAAAAAAAAAAAAAAAGAAAGAAAGAAAGAAAAGAAATAAATAGCAAACTGAATTACTGCAATAGATAATACAGTATACAAAAATAATATCTGAAGAAGGCAGTTCATAATTAATTCCTTCCCTGTCCTTTCAAGTCACAGAAAAACCAAACATTTTAAAATCACTCTGTTCTTTACCTTCTCCATCTTCTTGAATCGATTTTGGCTGTGACACAGTGAAACACTGCATTACTTCATACCGTTGGCAGGCTTCTTGGTTCTCAGTACCTGGCTCATCTGGAGGGTGAATTAGCATCCTGCAGTTAAAAGTATGGCTATTTCGGCGTGTTGCCTCTTGAGGCCAAGGAACTCCATTTACTGGGGAAGGAAAATTGATATATGTGCTTGTGAAAAAAGTACAAACTCCAAAGATACAAAAGATATACTTCAAGGCATTTGGTCAATTAGATAACTAATAAAAGACAGATCACTTCAGATCTAACAATATCCTAAGGCAAGAGGGTACTTATCTTCCTCGGGAAACCTAAATATCTACCAGTTAAAAATCATAACATTTCCCAAGAAAATATATAGGATCTCCCTCTCTCAAATACTCTAATATATTAAAACAAATTCAAAATTATTATTTTGCTCAGAATGTTATAGCAGATTATTTTTTTAGTTGTAGATGGACACAATACCTTTTTATTTAATTACTTTATTTTTTATTGGTGCTGAGGATCAAACCCAGGGTTTCGTATGTGTTAGGCAAGCGCTCTACCACTGAGCTACAACCCCAGCCCGCATGTTGGTTTCTTAAAACCATTTTGTTTATATTTTATTAATTTAACTAGCACAGTTCATATGCTACAATGCCTTGCCTTCAGTAGATAATAAATTATACAAAAAAGAAAGATTGGGGCTGGGGATATGGCTCAAGCGGTAGCGCATGCGCGGGGTGCTGGGTTGGATCCTCAGCACCACATAAAAAATAAAAAAATAAAGATGTTATGTCCACCAAAAAATAAAAAATAAAAAAAATTACTAAAAAAAAAGTCATGGTATCTGATTCAGTATAAAAAATTGAATTCAGTTATAGAAAAAGGGTCTGTGCATTTCAAGTAGGAATCACTGGGTGAATGGCCATGATTTCCAGTCACAATGTCATAGTCAAACCAAGGAGGTCATGAGGTGGTGGAAGGGTTTATACGGATGCTTTCTCACCCTGCCTGTTTTCTTACCTTACACTCTCCATTGACCCACTTTCTTGTTTCCATCTCATCACTCTACAACTATTAGAGGAAAGCATAGAAACAAACCTATACTGGAGTAAAGAATCTTGGGTTCTGCTAGCTGTGAGGTTTGGGTTAATTAATCTTTGATTTCCAGTTGCTTCATCTTTAAAAATAAAGGCATCCATCACATTATGTCTCATTTATACTGTAAAATTCAATAACAAAACACCTAAGACCATTTGATACTATAAGTCAAATATTAAACCAGTTTTTTTTTAAATAGAAACTATCATTTCAGGTCCCCAATTACTATAAACACATACTACCTCTTTTTAAAAAGAAATAAAGTTTCTATTCCATTGAGGAAACAATGGTAAAAAAATAAAGAGTTATGGATGAATAAAGAGTTATGGATGCCATTTTACATGCATGTCTGATTTACTTGTATAGGATTTCTGGCCAGGTCCTTTTCTCACCCACTTCTGAAGAACATATAGTGAAATATGGAATAAAATTAATGTAAAACTAACATAGTGATTTTTTTTAGAGCACTCATGCAACTGAATAAACTCTTTCAAGTTCTCTAATTCTTAGGAATTAGTGATAAAAAACAATTTTAAGTTTTTGACACTGGTTTGAATAACATTTACCTATATCTATTTAGTCACAAGGGGAAGTTTCAACTTACTAATGATATTTGAAAAGAAAGCTACTTGCTAAATGTTGCTAGAAGAAATTAAGTTAAACATCAAATTCCATTTAGTTGAGGTAAAAAGAAAGAGGGTAGAGTAAAAATAAAGGGTGGAAAGGAGGCTCAGAGTAAGGGGAACATAAGGATCCAAGAGAAGAACAGATGGTATCAGAGAGGAGAATGTACTTCCTTAATCTCATAACCTATTACATTATAAAAAAAGCATAAGACTTTTTGAAAGGTTTTAAAAATGTTGAGAAATGATCACAACTAAAGTAATGTTGTTAACAATTTATATGTCAACTGTTATGGTTTGGATGTGAGGTGTCCCCCAAAAGCTCACGTGTGAGACAATGCAAGAAGGTTCAGACAATGCAAGAAAGTTTCTTAGTATCCAGAAATGATTGGGTACTAAGAGTCTTAACCCAATCAGTGAATTAATCCCCTGATTGGGGATAAATGAATGGTAACTTAAGTGGTAGGGTGTGGCTGGAGGAGGTGGGAATTGGAAACGTGGTTTTTGGACTATATATTTGTATTGGAAGAGTGGAGTCTCTCTGCTTACAGATCATCATGCCAACTGCTTCCCTCTGCTACACTCTTCTGCCATGATGTTCTGTCTCACCTTGGAGCTGGCCTTCTATGGACTAAGACCTCTGAAACCATGAGCCCCTAAATAAACAACTCCTCCTCTATGATTGGTCTGGTTGGGTCACAGCAGTGAAAAAGCGAAACATCAACTATCATATCTTCTTTTTTTAATTTCTAATTTTGGTACTGGGAATTTAACCCAGGGGTACTTTACTACTGAGCTACATACCCAGCCCTTTTTATTCAGCCCTTTTTATTTTATTTTTTGATACAGAGTCTCACTAAGTTACTTAGGCTCTCACTAAGTTGTTGAGGCTGGCCTTAAACTTGCAATATTCCTACCTCAGCTTCCCAAATTGCTGGGATTATAGTTGTGCACCGCAGAGCCTGGCTCATATCTTCTTAAAGCAATAATAATAATAATAATTATCAAGATCACTTCCAAACATATAGACCCCTTCCAATATATGGTGATAAATATTTTACATGACTTTTCTAGATCTATACTTTAAAAGCCAGGCACATTGGTGCAACTCAGCAAGACCCTGTCTCAAATAAAAAATAAAAAGGGCTGGAGATGCAGCTCAGTTGTAAAGTGCTCCGGGGTTAAATAGTACCAAAAATAAATAAATAAAATAAAATAATAGAACTCCTGTATTTTATAATATTAATTATATTTCTTTTAAGTTGTCCAAATTAATTTGCTTGACATAGCTTATAACTTTTTTGAACCTAAATCTTTTAAACAGTAAGTATTGAAAAAGAAAATAACATCACAACACAAAGCTCTGTGTTATCTGTGAAATGGAATCAAAAGGATAGATCTAGACTTAGGAGGTATAAACTCTGACAAAACTCAGTTTAACTTATCCAGATGGAAAGCAGTTTACCTAATCTTTATGAAATTGCTTTCTTTTTCTCATCATGATTCCTTGTTAAAAGGATAATGCCACTGCTAATATTAAAAACCACTGGTAACTGGTAATGTAAATTAAAACAAAGTGTTATAAAACAAATAACAAAAGCCTTGTTAAAAGGCAGAAGTAGTGGCCGCAATTTAAAAAGAGCTGAGCACTAAATTCTCCTACTAAATGTGATCTTTTTTTTTTTTTTTAAAGACCTCAATTTTAACGGAACAGATGAAGGGATGTATTATGAAAGGAAAAGRCTGTCCTTTGGTGACATCAATTTCTAAGCTAAAAACTTAATCTAAAACACCAAGTTGTTTTGAATAATGCATCATTATGGATCTACTATAGATCTATCATTTTATGAAATAAAAATCTCCAAACATTTAGATAAAGCCAATAATAGTAGTAATAACAGTGACAATTTAAAGGGAATTCAGCCAGGGAATATGTTAAGCATCATTTATTCCTCAACCTTTCTGTTAGATGAGATCTGGGGATAAGGGAGTGGGGTCAGGTGTTTGGTCTGAGGTCACATAGCTAGTAGGTAGTAGAGGAGTAATGCATTACCCTCTACCATTACTGTTTAACACCAAAAAGCCTGTGCTCTTAGCCACTGGGATGTTTTGCATCACTTGAGACACAAATGCCATGAATTTATGAGAACTATTTAAAATTTTTTTCAAACTTCAATTTTCAATTTATTAAAAATTTGCAGGTAATGTTATAGTTTAGATGTGGTGTCCCCCAAAAGCTCACGTGTGAGACAATGCAAGAAGGTTCAGAGGATAAATGATTGGGTTGTGAGAGCCTTAACCCAATCAGTCATTTAATCCCCTGATAGGGAAGTGAAGTGGTAGCCTGTGGCTAAAGGAGGTGGGAACTGGGGCATGCATTTGGATATTTGTATCTGGAGAGAAGAGTCTCTCTCTCTGCTTCCTGACCACCCTCATGTGAGCTGCTTCCCTCTGCCACCCTCTCCTGCAATGTTTAGCCTCACCTTGAGCCCCAAGAAATGGAGCTGGCCTTCTTTGAACTAAGACCTTTGAAACTGTGAGCCCTCGAATAAACTCTTCTTCCTCTATAATTGTGCTGGTTAGGTCCTTTAGCCATAGCAATGAGAAAGCTGACTAAAACATAAGTCTGTGTTCAATAACATCTTGGCCTTTCACAATCTAATCTTTTTATACTCATCTGTGCATATTTGTCCTGTAGAATAAAATCTCAGTATGCTAGCCTCCCTGTATTAAGATTTTATTTATTTACTTAAAAAATGTTGTGCTGGGGCTAGGATGGTAGCTCAGTGGCAAAGTGCTTGCCTAGCATGTGTGAGGCACTGGGCTTGATCCTTAGCACCATATAAAATAAACAAATAAAATAAAGGCATTCTGTTCATCTATAACTACAAAAAATTTTTTTTAAATGTTGATCTTAAAAAGCATGGATTGATTATTTCCTTCCCCAGAACTGAAGATTGAAGCCAGGGGCACTCTACCATTCAACTACATCCCCACCCATTTTTGTTTTTGTTGTTGTCTGAGATAGAGCCTTGCTAAATTGCTGAGGCTAGCCTCAAACTTGCGATCATCCTTCATCAGCTTCCTGTGTTGCTGGGATTACAGGTGAGCCCCACCACGTTTGGCTCAAAAACTGTGGGTTTTGGATACTGAAATCTTCTAAATTGGCAAATTCAAAAGCATTTTTAAGAGCTGTGATTGCAGTTCAGTGGTACAGTGCTTGCCTATCATGTATAAGGCACTGGGTTTGATCCTCAGCACCACATAAAAATAAATAAATGAAATATAGGTATTATATCCATCTACAACTAAAAAATTTTAAAAAGAAATTTTTTAAACAATCTGGCTTTTTTATTCAAAATTTCCCCTTGATAACAAATGGTGATTAGCCACCCGGTGATCTACTCTCTACACTAACCTTGTGCTACTCTTCTTGTCTACTGTGCTCAGTAGCAGAGGCAGTCAAAGTGTATTATTTCATCAAATTTCCATTCTTTGATTCTCCAGGGGAATAAGAGAAAGGTACCTGGCAGCAGAAGTCTCACAACCACCCTATTGTGGAAGGAGGCTGCTCAGAGAAGAAGGCAAGGACTGTTAGGCCAGCTGAGAATAAGAGTCCTACATGTGGCCAGGAGCAGCATTACCAACAGGTTAGCTCTTAGATGATGTGCCCTCTATATTTACCCCTTGACAGTGATTGGGAGCAACCTGAATAGTCACGGATCTACAGTAATCATGGTGAGAAGATTAATGTTTGGCTCTACCACAAACAATAAGCCCCTTTTCAGGAGGCAGAAGATAGATCAATTTTGTTTTCCATGACCTCAGTTCTCGTAACCAGGCAAGTTCTTAAACCCAACAGATAGCTTGTTATCACAGATGAGAAAAATGAAATGATTTTGTGGAACATAAAAATAAAATGAAGTATCTTAGTTAAATCCACATGTCAGTATTCTTTAAAATCTGTAGAAATCAGAACAAAAGAAATCTAGAGTCCAGTGCTAGGGAAATAAATCTAAGTATTACCCACAGTGATGTCAAGGGGACATTAAATTGTTTTACTTCCCTATCTGCCTGCCTCAATTTCCATACTAAATATTGGTTACAGTCCCAACTCTACTATTCAGATGCTTCATCATGTATCATCAATGTGGAAAACTGATGTGTGATTAATTTATCTGTGAAGAAACCGGTCTTATTTCAGAGCTCGTTAAACAAAGAAATGATGGGAATTACCATATACTTCCATTTGTCAACAAAATGTACACTGACTGTTGGAAACACTCAGATAGAAACATAGGAATTCAATCACCAAAAGTAATTTAAACTTGAGTGCTGGAAAGCTTTAGTAGGAGCCTGAAATGTTAAGAAATAAACAAATGGCTACTGTTAGGCCATCCATTGTAAGGAAAATAAAAATGGGGCACGAGAAGAGTTCTCTCCGCACAATCCATGCCTTCAGAGATTTAGTAAAAGTCACCTAACTCCTAAGGATACAGCCCTGCCCCAAAATACAGTTTAATAAATGGAACAACAACTGGAAACCAACCCTATCCATCCTCTTAGCTAGAATCCTTGGCAGTGGACGAGTCATCCAATCAGTCCTGGCACTGCTGAGTTCAAAGTACTTACATCTAAAAATGTCAATTTCAACAGGTATATAAAATGTCAATATATCCCCACCCTGGTCTTTCTTTTCTTTTTCTTTCAGCAGGGTAGTGGGAAAGGGACATATATCCCTTCTTGAACATAATCAAAACTGAAAACAAAGTGAATTTTCTTGTGGCAAGGCAACTAACTGCTCTGTCTCCCACTACTGTCCAAGATCATGAGGACACAGACAATAATAACAGAGGAAGACAATGCATGCTCTCTTACCAGCTATTCAACATGTCAAAAGCTGAAATTGTATTAAAATATTTTAAATATATATTATTTTATACTATAAAAATATATAATATTATGTTATAGATTTTATAATAATCACATATTATCATATATATTATGAAGAAAGAAGCTATGAAGAATTAGTACTCTTTTTAAAAATGAATTTCTTTCTACCTAGGGATTTTGGTAGCAGATTCTTGACAAATTCTGCATGATCTCCCACGTGCAGTATGCTGTAGACGCTGGTATTCATTAATTCCTCCTGATTGTAACCCAAGTAGCTGGTCACATTCTCTGACACAAATACAATTCTCCCTTCACAGTTCACAACAAAGAAAAATCCATCCAAAGCCTGCAAAGCCAAAAAGAAAAAAAAAAAAAAAGAAGAATTAAGAGATGGGGAGGTTAAAAGATAACAGAAAAGTAAACATATATTTCTTTGTATATACATATGTCAAGTTAAAGGCGGGGGATTGAAGATACCCCTTGGATACACAGGAGCCTGTTGTTATTTGTGACAAAACACTCAAAATAACTGCCTAACAATATTGAAGTCTACTCATTTTTATTTTTAGAAAAGGAAGTTTCCCAAGTTGTGGCCTTTTCTATAGTAAGTGACTGGTGATAATAAGCTACCTAGCAGATATTTCCCTAAAAATAAACACAATTTTTTCTATAGGGCTAAGAGGATAAAGCGGGGCCAGRATTTTTAAACAGACTATATGCTAATGTTTTAAGTAGGCATGAATGTTTCAAGTAGAATGAGTCATGAGTCTGTCAACTTTCTTCCTTAGAAATACATTTTATGAGACAGGCTGGGTGGCACATGTGTATAATCCCAGCTATTTCAGAGGCTAAGCAGGAAGATCATGAGTTTGAGATCAGCCTGGGCAACTTAGTGAGACCTTGTCTCAAAGACAGAAAGCCTCCAAAAAAAAAAAAAAAAAAAAAAAGAAAGAAAGAAAGAAAGAAACTTTAAGGTAGTAGATATGAAGTAACTATCCCATTTATTCAATCATAAGAATCTGTGTTAGTGAATACCTGTTTTCTGCCCTCAAGGGATTTGTGGTACAATGTGAGAGAGGCATTAAATATAATAAAATATCAGTGAAAAATGCAGTAGCAGAGATACACACTAAATATTCTATGAGCATAAAGAAGGATACCTAATTTGCAACAAAAGGTTCCTTACAGAGCCCTACCCAACTTATAAAAGGCACAGGGCAGAGGGGAAGAGGACTAGCATGGCACAGAAAGGGAAGGCTTAAGCAGTGTGGAGCTGCTGCAGTAGATAGCCCAGGGCAAGCCTGTGACAGGAAGAGTCAACAGAGTGGACAGGAACCAAATCCCAGAGATCTCCTAAGCATTGAGATGGAGCCAGGGAACTCCAAAAAGAAACATAGTGCCCCAGAAGGTACACTATATCTAGGGGGTGCAGGAGAAAAGCTAGAACCTCTATTTGTATTATAATCTAAAACACAAAGAAATCACACTTAACATACAAAAACACACTAAATATACAAAAACACACTGATGCCTCACTCAGTTCAGATAGCCACAACCCTGGAATCCTGAGGGAAGATTCAGAATACTGAGGTTGACAACGGTTTAATTATTTGGAATCTTCCCATATATTTGCAATATGCTGCAGCTTACTTGCTACAGAATGTATAAGCAATAAAAATGAGACCTTCAAAGAACAGAAATGTTTACCAAATTTGGGATGTAATATGACCATTAAAATCCTTGTATCACACAAGAGTCTGTTGTTATTTGTGGCAAAACACTTAAAACAGCTTCCTAACAATATTGAGGCCTACTCATTTTCTTTTTATAAAAGGCAAGTTCCCCAAATGTAACCTTTTCTATAATAAGCGGTTAATGATATTATGCTAATTAACAGATAGTTCCCTAAAAATAAACACGATTATTTTCCTTTAGGATTAAGATTATACTCCAACAATAAATGAAAAATAAACTGCTTTTCAAAAAACCATTATGCTATAGAGATAACATGTGAAAACAGAAGTTTAGAAATGTTACCAAAGTTTTGATTTTGTTGCTGAAAACGATGTAAAAGGCACATAAAAAACTTCTCTCCTCAGTTTAAAATCTTTGAAACTGACCTGTTGAAAAACCTTTCAACCAGAGATTGAATGGGCTTAAATTCATTCTTAAAATATGAAAATGCAACTTGTTCTGATTCACTTAGAAGAATCACTCTCTGAGATCAAGAAAGATGAAGTGTCAATGAAAACCTCTGTATAATGGGATAGGATTTTAAAATGAATATTGTGATTTAGTAGATGCAGTCAATGTAAGACTTTTCCTTTTGAATCTACTTATTTTTGTGAGGTATCTTTTTCAGCTAAGATTATTAATTTTTTAAAATGACAATTATATATTTGTGGTACAATGCTTTGAAATATGTACACATTATGAAATGGCTAAAAATGGCTAAATCACACTTATTAACGCGCATGTGCATCTTCTTTGTGATGAAAACACTTAAAATCTAGAAACTTTTAGTATATAATGATTGTAATAATTGTTAACACATGGGCTGGGAATGTGGCTCTAGCGGTAACGCGCTCGCCTGGCATGCGTGTGGCCTGGGTTCGATCCTCGGCAACACAAACAAAGATGTTGTGTCCGCCGAAAACTAAAAAAAAAAATAAATATTAAAATTCTCTCTCACTCTCTCTCTCTTTAAAAAAAATAATAATTGTTAACACAACGGAATACAATAGGTCTTATTCCTCCTGTTTACTTGAATTTTTCTTTCTTTCTTTCTTTTTTTTTTTTTTGTAGTGACTGGGTCAAGGTTGAATCTAGTTGAACCATGTTCTACTACTGAGCCACTATACCCCAGCCCTAAATGAATTTTTTTGGCCTTTGAACAACATATTCAATTCCTACCCAGCCCCCATCTCCCAACCTCTAGTGACCAGTGTTCTACTCTCTGCTTCTTTTGAGTTTGCTTTCTTTGATCAGATAACTAGCAATTCCTGGGTGGATATCCATGGGAATTAAAATCAGTATATTCAAGAAATACTAGAGATCTCATGCTCATTGTAGCAGTATTCATAACAGCCAAGATACAGAATCAACCTAGAAGCCCATCAGTGGATGAATGGATGAGATTATTGTTTAAATCATTCAAACCAAATATTAAATAAGCTGAATTTAGAACTACATTTCCAAATTCCTCATTGCAAAGCATATGACCAAGATTTTAAAAAGCAATGAAGCACACAGTTCCATGTTCTTATTAAAAACATTACTATTTTCTTTAGCAAGAAAAAATAAAGCTATTTTTATTCCACATGACTCCTATGACTATTTCTCATTTAGTTCATAATACAAAGGGAAAAGGGATATTATGATCAGGCATAAGTAAACCTCAACACTAGACAAATCTTCTAAAAACTAGTTTAAGTTTAGATGGACACAGGAAAGCACCCTCATACCCAACTAATATATTTAGCTATAAATTTCATAGTTGGTGATCAATTTATACTTGTTTGCATTGCAGTTTATATGAAAATAGAATTGAAATATACATTTTTAAAGCACATCTAAAATTTCTTTTACAATATTCTTGGATAATAATTGAATCAGTATAAATATAACTTAACTTCCTTAATTTTTTGTCTTTATACTTAAACAAATTTTTTAAATATGAAGATGAAGCAAATAGTAGATCTGCAAAAATCCCACCCCAAAGAGAATGGTAATATTTCAGGAAATACTGTTTGAAACTATTCCTAGGAATATACAAAGATTTATACTTTCTAAAAGTATGACTGATTAATATAATCAGCTATTAATTGCTCCTGTTCTATAAGTTTCCTCATATGTTGTACATACAATCAATTTCTATGTGTGCTCTTAGGGAGGAATCTTCCTGTTCCTCTGTGTTCTGACAGCTGGTCTCATGTTGTGCTTTGCATAGAGATGATAACACATGCTTGTCCACTGAGTACAACAAAATCAATCGGAGAGCTTTTCCCTCTGCCTAGGATGTTGCCCTTTAAAGAGAAACACCTTGTATCTCAGCAGGGCTCACAACAGCCAAGGCTTCTCACAGGGGCCTGACTTTAAATGAGACTACCACATAGGAGTTAGTCACTGGACAAAATTCTGAGAATAAAACACATAATTATCAATATCTTGGTAGTCTCTGAGGGGAAAAAGACAAGTACACTCAGGTATAAGTTAGTACAAGAGAGGAATTCACAAAAGTTACAGACATAGAGTGAGGCTCCCACAGTGGGGAAGGGATAAACATGCCTTGGGTGAGGTTTCCTGAAGGAGGCGATACTCCTCCTGACCTGAGGCTTGAAGGACAGAGGGGCAATGAAGGTGGACCAGGGAAGGAAAGGACAGAGGAAACAATTCAGAGTCTTTTTTTTTAAGTGTTCTTTTATGTATTTGTAATATCTGTGTTACATTTAATAGAAAAAAATTATTTTAATTTTCAAGGAAAAACAAAAAAATAAGGAATTTATCCTGAAGACAATGAGTGACATGCTCTGCTTCTACAAAGATCCACTAGCAGTGGGTGTGGGGTGTAGAACCAAGGAAGACCAGGTACAATGCTATCATGTCACTTGTTCAAACAAGTGCCTGAACTGAGCAATGGTAGTGGAAGGGATAGAACTTGATAGGGGGTAGAACAAACAGCACCTGGTGGCCTCCAGCAGCTGTGGAAGCTATGGAAAAAAGAGAATAGACATAGACATAGACACAGACTCGGATAAAGTTTCCCAGGAAATACGAACAGAACAACAAAAGGAAAAGAGCCAAGGTTAGAACCCTGAGCAATTCAAACATTTATGAGGAAGTTAAAGAAGCAAAATTCTGAAAAAGAGGGTAAAGAGTAGCCAGAAAGTCAAAGAAAAGTGTACCATTCAAGAGGTCATGGGAGGGCTGGGGTTGTGGCTCAGTGGCAGAGAGATCACCTAGCATGTGCGAGGCCTTGAGTTTGAGTCTCAGCACCGAATAAAAATAAATACAGATATTATGTCCAACTACAACAAAAAAATTATATATATATATATATATATATATATATATATATATATTTTTTTTTTTTTTTTTTTTTTTTTTTTTTTTTTTTTTTTAAAGGTAATGGGAACTGGGCATGGTGTCGCATGCCTGTAATCCTAGCAGCTTGGGAGGCTGAGACAGGAAGATCACTGAGTTCAAAGCCAACCTCAAAAGTGAGGTGCTAAACAACTCAGTGAGACCCTGTCTCTAAATAAAATACAAAATAGGGCTGGGGATGTGGCTCAGTGGTTGAGTGCCCCCGAGTTCAGTCCTGGTACCACCAACCCCCAAAAAAGTGGTCATGGGATATTGCAAGCAAGAGGGAAGAGGTGGCCAGGTGTCCAAAGCCACATAGAAATGGAAAGAATGGTGTTAAGCAAGGCAAAGAAGACTGAATGTATATGCAAAGTACGAGGAGATCTCATTGCCTGAAACAGAATTTTTCTTGACCATAATGAGAAATAAGGAGGGTTGGGGTAAATAATGCTAAGTTTTGAGTAGGAAGGAGGCAGAAGAATTTAGCAGGAAACAACAGTTTGAGGAGCTTAAATACAAGTGCTAATGAATTGTGGATTTTAATTTTAATAACAATTTAATTCTAATAACAATTCCATGATGGGATCATGAATTCATCTAGTAGATTGACACGCAATAGGTGTTCATCAAAGATCTGTTGAATAAATAAATCCTAATACATCTCTCTCAAGTTATGAAGAAATTTCCTCTAATACCTTTCCTTCTTAACTCATGTTGTCTTTATTTTATGTTTAAAGTAAAAAGAGAAATAAATTAAATGTTGCATAGTGAGAATTTTTCATACTATGTTGGACACTGGGTCACTTTTCAGAAGTGGAGACCTTCCATCTGGGCAAGCTATGCAAATGAACTTCCTGCAGTAATGGAAATCTCTGTATCTGTTGTCCAACAGAGATGTCACTCTATACAAGTAGATAACAGAACACTTTAAATGTGAATGATCAGACTGAGGCATTGCATTTTTAACTCTTCTAACTTAAATTTAAATGTCCATGTGGCCAGTGGCTATCATGTTAAACAGTGCAGCTCTAAACTGCAGCCTGAATAATGTAATAGAAAATCTCTTTGCAATTTTTCTACCACTTCCTGCACTAGATGCTCTGAATTAGACTCCATAAAGTTTTGATCAATAGGTACAAAGTTGGGGGATAAAGAAGGGACAGAAAAGATACTATGTTGTCCATGAAAGCAACATTGAAGTCTATAAAATTCAGTAATTCTATTTTAAAGTTTATTTCACATAACTGCAGCTCATCAATAAAAATATTACTAGCTTCTTGAGGTCAAGAATTTAAATAAATTTCTATTCTATTTTCAAATTTCTAATTTGATGTGCTTTTTTGTATTTGAAAATGCTCATTTAACAACATTTAATTCATGTGTGTTAGTTTTCCTTTGATTTATGATAGTTTTTAGGGTAATATAATTGCATCAACTGAAAAAAATTCTCACTTTGTCCTTTTTTTTTTTTAAATTAGAGCTTTATGGTTAATCTCATAGTAGTTGGGTTCATCTCTACATACTCATACATGCATAGAAATCTATTTCAGTTCAAGATCCCCCTTTTCCATTCTACCCTCTTCTATCCTCTTCTCCTTTCTCCACTCTACTAGATTCACTTTGCCTTCTTGTAGTTAGTTTTGAATGAATGCTGTCCTATCATTGTCTGCTGACTTGAAAGAAGGTGGATTTTTCTGATAGAGAAATAATGATTTTTCTTATCAATTAAAGTAAAAGTAGTACTATTCTGTTTCTAGTTGTGCTTTATTCAGTTGTAGATAGTCTATTTTCCCTCCTCATTAATCTGTGTGTTTACTGAGGACTGTATGGAAAGACTAAGATTTAAATGATCATTGTTTCCCTACAAGAACTCTCAAGGAACTGTATAACTAATATTTCTTCAGTATCTCAAATGACACTATATGCATATATACAGACAGACAGATACACACACATACACACACTTATATAAAATTTAATTATTTGAAAGGAAATACAAAGTTCTGGCCAGTTTAATAATTCAGGGCTAAGAAGCATAATTCCCACAGAAAAACTAGGAGGGGTGAAAACACAAGTCTACAACTTCTGCAAAGTAGCAGCAAGAAGTGCCAGTAAAGTTCAGGTCAGGTTTCCAGGGGTCCAGGTGCAATAGAGTAGCAGGATGTGGCAAGTAGTGAATAGGGAGCAGAGATGAAGGTGGAAGTGAGACATTTTTTTTTCACTTATTTCCCTCCATATTAAATTAAAAATTTCAAAATTCAGCAAAGTTGAAAGAATTTGGTAGTGAAAATGTGTATATCCACCACCCAGATTCTACCAATAACATTTCAAAAAATATTTTTAGTTGTAGATGGACATAATAACTTTATTTTATTTATTTTTATATGTGGTGCTGAGGATTGAACCCAGTACCTCACATGTGCTAGGCAAGCGCTGTACCACTGAGCCATAATCCCAGCCCAACCAACAACATTTTTACTACACTGTTAAAATACTGTTTTCTAAGATGCAATCATGTATCATGTGGTCAATCTGATAGTCTATAGAAAGAACGTAATAAAAAAAAAATCAGCCTCAGTTATATGTCTTTCCCTGCCCCTCTGGTTCTGGGAACGAATTTGCTCACAGTAGTTTCTATACCCGTTTCAATAGCAAATGTCTATTATATTTTGCAAAATTGTGCGCTGTTTCCTAGTAAAAATCATTAAAATCAAATATAAAGTAACAAAATGCTTTTATAATGTGGATGAGAAATGAAGAATTTAGATTTTTGAGGGGGAAGTTACTAAGAGCAGGACAGCTTGTAAGTACCGAACAGAAGATGGGGAGAAGTAAAGGCAAGGAGGACATATTTGGATGTCCACCCTATAGGATGAAGAGGGAAACAACATTAATACGAATACTCTGGGGCTGGAAAAGCAAGAAGTGAACTTTGAGATTTTTTTTTTTTACATTAGCCACAGGTAGCGGGAACTATTATTAATATAAAAAATGAAAAAGTTATGGTAATAGGACAAAATGTATAAAATAATTTGAAAATAAAGAGACATATGCATATTTGTTAAGAAGACTATCAGAAAGGAGGACTTGAAGAAAGGACAAGGAAAGAAGAGTTTATATATATTTGTGTTTAATATATATAAAATTTGGTCTAGAGATAGAAAAGTAGACATGGTGGCAAATGAGTGTATATGGACACATAGATGTGTGTTTCTGAACATTCATGTATGAGAGAAAGCATTTAAACTGATGAGACTGCCTGGAAATAAAATTTATGTGCTAAAAATACAGAAGGTGAAAATCAGATGGGAGAGACAGTGCTGAAAATTACACAGTAATTACAATGTCATTCAAGTTTAAAAATGCCTCACTCTACAAAGTTTGATAGTAATTCTCTTAAAATGTTTACATAAGCAATTTAAAAATTTTATTCAGAAAACCTTCCACAACAATATCTACTCCAATAAAGTGAGGCAACCTTCATTTAAAAATGAAATTCTATAGTATCATAGATAGTACTAGGAGCTAAACAATGCTGATGTTTTATTTTCCCAGCTAGTTCTAACCATCTCAGAAATAAAAGACAAAGTCATGTAGTAGACTTCATCTGACAAACTGAAATACTTTTATGAAAATATTTCATATTCATTATTCACATTTAACTCTGAAATAGTATAACTGTCAAATAGTTTTCATAATAAAKTAATTACAAAAAGTTATTAAAAATGTGGCTTTGTTTCACAGTTTATTAACTGAATGTGAGACATAAAAAAAGATGATGAAAAAGACCAAATTGGCAAGAACAAAGATTTTAATTTCGGGGTCAATGAGGACATTTACCTCCAAAAGAAGAGGTCCCAAGGATTCCTTTTCTATTACTCCTTGACTACTCGATGAGATATCTGATTTCTGAACATCATCATCAGTTGTTGATTTTTCTGTAATAAAGAAACTTTAAAAATCACACATCCAAAAAGAGTTCATTTCTGTAAAGGCAAGCTCTAACAATAAATAATAATAATAAAAAATCAAGTTCATGTTGATTAAATTACAGTATATGAAAAGCAAAACATTTATAATTTTAGAGAGAACCTAAGGTAGGAATCATTATGAATAGTTTCCATCCTAAGGTATATGAACAGAAGCAATGTGCAATTTCTGGGTCTTGGCTGTAAAACCGAGGAGGCATGCCTTGAAATTCTTATCAGCTGGTACATGGGCAAGTGAACCTTGCTGACCACGTGAATAATGGCAATGCCCTAGGAATGGCAGAGTAAAAAAGATAGAAAGAGTGTGAATTCTTGATACCTACCCAGACTATCTTGTTAAAGCCACTGCATTTTGGGTATCTTGGGATAGTAGCATGGCTGATATTCTATTTAATGTACTCCATTCTTCTCAATAAGCTTATTTGCTGTAGTCTRCTCATGTTTGTGCCCTTGATAGACATACTCTATTGATATACTATCATGAAAGGTAAGAATTTAACTTAGACCAACCTGCTACAACACACATTTCCCCTCCTCTCAATATATATAGTTAAAACAATTCTTACAGCAATCAATACTTAGTATCTATGTTACTGTGGATAAATAAATATACTTCATAAGTAAGCCAAGGTACGTGCTATCATTTTAATTTCTCTTATGGTTGTATGTAGTTTCAAATTTCCAAATTTTCAGCATAGTTTAAATCATCCCTGCCTGAAATATCCTCCTGAGTTCAAAATTTTCTCTCAATTTGTCAGTTATCAGACACTCTTATGTCTTCCTTTTATTTATTTATTTATTTATTTTTTCACAGAAATATTCTTCCTAGAGTCTTCTATCCACCTGTTCCACTGCAGCTGGCTATTTTTTCAGGGTGTGGCACAACTGTAATTTTGGCTCTCCTTTTAGTTTTCTTGAGCATTAAGATTTTACAGTTTCTCTGGGTTAAGATCCTAAGCCTTTGTTTCTTTGTTTACTACTTAGGTTTTGATAGAGATTTCTGGGAAAGGTACACTGGGAGATAACATTTTTGAGGCTGATAGTCTGAAAATATCTGTGTTCCACTTATAACAATTTGGATGAATACAGAATTCTAGGTCTAATAATTAATCTAGTTCTCAAAGTTATTTTGAACCCATTCCAAAAGCAATTTAGTGTGTTAAGACCTATTTTTTCTTCTCTCTCTTTTTTCCTTTTCCTGGTGCTTTAAAATATCACTAAATTGTATATCAGTGTAAATTTTTTTCATTAATTGTGCTGAGTACTACGAAATCAGTTTCAATCTAGAAACTTATACCCTTTGAGTTATATGAAAAATTTTTAAAAATTCCTCTTATCATTTTTTCATCTCTACCTAGTCTGTTCTTTTTTTCTGAGATTAATCATTATGTTACAGCTTTTGAACCAATTCTATAAATTTCTTATCTTTTCTCTTGCTTTCCATTCCTTCTCTATTTATTTTACTTCCTCTGTTTATTTTCGTCAAATTCTTATATGTCATATATAAAAAGTATTGTGGGGAAAATAAATCAAGAAAATTTAAAGGTGCAAAGATGTATAAGATTTTCCTTAATTTTAAATAGGATAGTTGGGAACAATTTCATTGAGAGGATGCATTTGTGCATAGACACAAAAGGGGTGAAAGAGTGAGCCATGTGGATGTCTAGAGAAGAACATTTCAGACAGAACAGTGGGTTCAAACACCTCGGAGTGAGTGTGGATGGCTGGGCAGAAGGTATGAGGAGGCAAAGAGGAGAAACGTGGTATAGAGGTAAAGATTTTTTCCAGATATCCTAGGGTTTTTGTTTTTTGTTACTAGGGATTGAACTAAGGGGCACGCAATCACTGAGCCATATCCCCAGCACTACTTTGTATCTTTTTTTTTAATATTTAATTTTTAAGTTGTTGATAGACCTTTATTTATTTACTTATATGTGGTGCTGAGAATTGAACCCAGTGCCCCATGTATGCCAGACAAGTGTGCTACTGCTAAGCCATAGCCCCAGCCCCACCATTTTGTATCTTATTTAGAGACAGGGTTACTTAGCGCCTGGCTTTGAACTCATGATCCTCCTGTCTCAGCCTCCAGAGCCACTGATTACACTGCACCTGGCCAGATGTCCTTTTGCTAAGTTCCCAAAGTTACCCTTTTTCATGGGTAAAACATCTTTCCTGTGCCTCTGAGGAACTGTTAAGATTTCTCTGCTTCCTGCATTCTTTGCTTCCTCTGAGTTCCTTTTTTCTTTTGTGTGTTTGCTTGGTTTTTCTTTCACATTACAGGTTTTCCTAAAATATATGGGGTTTTGTTCATAATAAAGGATAAAGTTCTAAAATGCAGACTGACAACTGTGTGAGGAGTGGAGGCAAGGTAAGAAGCGAATTTTTCATTTGAGGACATCCCCTAATTTCTCTTCCTTTGGACTGATCAGTGTACCCAGAAGAATGCCACCACCATCAGCTTAGAGTGTGTGAGCCAGGCTGCTGGTCTGTAGGCTTCCAGTACAGTTTCTCCTGTTTGCTAAATCAGTTGTCACTAAACTGTTTTTTAGCTTCTAAAATCTTTAAATCTTTATATCACAGAACTAATCAGCTTAAGTTTTTTGTCTATAGTTTAATCATACTTTTGCTACTAATCTAGCTTGTTACTTGTGCTTTACTCACCATAGATTATTTGCTTTTTGTTTATACAACTTTCAGTCTAAAATCACCCTCAGAAGCACTTTTCTGTGGCACTTTCATGGGGCTAGGTGTGGGAACATTCCTTCAAAGAATGTCTTCTTGCCTTTGTGTCTGGTAGGCAACCCAGGGGTTTAATGGTGTGTGGTTCCCAGTCAGTATGGGTAATATGAATATGAATAATAAGAGTTTTTTCAAAGATTATCCCCACCTCTGCACCCACTCTTGCCAGGCAGAGGCAAGCTTCCTCAGGCAGGCTGGTTTTCCCTTCATGAAGTCACTGTTCTTTACAGAGTCACTGTAGCTTCAGGTCACACACTTGACTTGTGTCTCCTATCTTAATCTGCTGTGGCACTGGGTCCTATAACCTCCCCAGGCAACTAACTTTTCAAGTGAACTTAGTAAACCACTTTGTTATAACAAGAAAGCACTCAGACTCAATAAAATAAATAGCTTCTAAACAGAAACATTTCTTTAAAAAAATCATGAAGGTCAATGCAGTTTCTTAATAATTAGAGAGCAGAAGCATTTATTATAAATGCTTAACAACAAAGGACAGCTATTTTTGTTTTTACCTTGTTCCATTCTCTTCATTAGCTGTATCTGATCGACTGTTTTCTTCAAAATCTTGCATTTGTCTGGTTTTACACTCAAGCTGTCAATGTCACTGATGTTGGCAGACAGTAGCTCAGCTAGTTCTTCTAAATATTTATTTTCTTGCTCCCTGCGCCTCTTTTCAGTGCTGTAACACAAAGAAAACCAGTTAGCATATATTTATATCATGTTATTTCTTTCTCTGATCAAGTACTTAATGTTTGCATATTTAGAGAAGTCCTTTTTATTGAAAATATAAAACCATATTTTAGAAAGCAATTTAAATTCACATCTAAAAAACAGACATTACAAAAACCATAGTGCAGAAAATGAATGAAATAAAGTGAATAAAAGCTGTAAACAGAAGTATTCTCCAATGAATATCTGTAAATAACAAATGATTACTAGATATTAGAAGGAACTAGATAGTAAATTTACTAGTTGCACTTGGAACTACTTCACATTCTAGATAACTCCTTGAAATAGAAAAATCTGAATTTTCAAATAACTTTGTTATAAATTAAGCAGGGCAGACTATGCTAGAGAGCTCAACAATCAAGCAACAATCAAATTCATTTAGTTGCATATAAAAGTGGTAGAAAAGAAAAGGGAAAGATCAGTTGCTAAAAACCTTGTAATTGAAAATAATTAAAATATCATTTACTTAATCATAATTTAAGAGATTTTAAAAGCAATAGTATTTATATAACACAGTGAGTTAAAAAGAACCAAATCCACTATCTACTTTATTTGCCTACATAAAACAAAATATTACAAAATGGTACATATCCCAAAACAAAATCAAATTTTAAAACTATACCAAATCATGTTTTCTTTGTCTTTTAAATCTTTCACTAATGAGGAATTATTCCCAGTTTGTTTAATAATACTCTATTAATTAATTTTATAATAACTCTATCAAACTAATAAATAACTATTTCCACAGCAAGATATTTTGACAAACTTCACACCATGGTACTGAAAGCAAAGCATAAATAAGGACCATACATTTTGATATATACAAGGTTTTAGCTCTGCAACCTGATAATATTTTGAGGACATGTGATTTTACCTTAGAGGAAATTCCATGGAAATGGAAGAGAGATCAGTGGAGTGAGAGGTAGGTACTGAGGTGGAAGGAGAAGGGATGGGAAAAGGGAAAAACATTAGAATGAATCTGACCAAATTTTCCTATGTACACATATGAATATACTACAGCGAATTTCACCTTTATGTATATTCACAAGGCACTGATTTAAAAAAAACTATAAATAAACAGAAGAAAGATCAGTAGAGAAAAAGGAATAGGAAAAGGGTTGGGGAAGGGAAAGGAGAAAGTACTCAGGACTAAATGACAGCAAATTCTATTCCATGCTTGTATAATTATGTAAAATGAACCCTAACACTATGTATAACTAGACTGAATTAATAAAAGAAACACTTATGTCTAAAATTGGAGGTCTGTATGGGGATGTTTGCCTCAGTGTTGGTTGTAAGCAAACATTTGTAACAAACAATTTGCTTATCTCTCAGGAATGTCTATCTGTAGAGAAATGGATTTTTTCAAATGTGATGTATTCATGCAATACAAACCAATCAAAAGTTACTAAGACTCAATAAGTCTATGTATATTTAAATCTCAAGATCCATGCTGAAAAAAGTATATTATGGAAAATTATATATAGTATTATACAACTTATATAAATTTAATAAACATCCTATATTGTTCACAGATAACTATGTGTACATATAATGAGTAAATAGAATGGAGGAATTATAGACAAATCAATTTCATTGTTAATATTTTATTTAAATAAAATTATATAACTATCATAAAATAGTAACAAGATACTAATGACACAACAAAATATTATCAACTATATGTAACTAAACATACTTACTCTATTCTTTTATATTTTTAAAATTTTCCTCAAATAAAAAATTAAATGTAAAAGACAACAGAAATGTATTATTCCTAGGTTTCTCTTTATGAAGAACTGACTTTATATATAAACATAAAGAACAGCATTAATTAGATAAGATACATCCGGATGGTAACTTGCTATTAACCTTATTCCTAGTACTTGGACATTTATTTGTTCTAAAAATACTTAGGGTATTGTCTTTCTGTAAGAACTCTCTCAATAGATTAAGAGAAACGGTCACTTTTCTTTTATTATCCTTGAGCCCTGGCATTCTTCTACAAAACACTTTCTTTTCCTTCCTGGAGAAAAAAAAAAAGATGTAACCAATGACATCTCTGCGGTGTTAGCTCCAGATCAAGTGGCTATCAACTAAGGGTGATTTTGCTTAACCTGTATCCAGGGGATATCTGGCAATGTTTCCAGACATTTTTGGTTATCACAAATAAGCTGCTATTTGCATTTAGTGTGTAGAAGCAGAGACACTACTAAGTATCCTACAATATATAGGATAACATCCCCCCTCAAAAAAAAGAATTATCTGGCTCAAAATGTCAATAGTGTGGAGGTTGAGAAAACTTACTCTAGGTTCTAGAAGATGAATGGAATAAAATCCTCACTCTTCCCACGTAGAAAGCTACTCTTTTGTAGCTGATTGAGTTCCTTCTTTATCTGGTGTTTGTTAGGACTCCTTAGCAATAAGTTTCTTTTAGCTTTTTTAAGGCTAAAATATTTAGCTCACAAATAACTCCATAAATAATCATTTTAAATTCCTGATATCATAATAATATATTTCTTAGTTCCCAGGATATAATTTATTTATTCACTTGACAAATATTTACCACATTCTTACCACATATATAAACCACACATTATGCTAGGAACTGGGCATACAATGGTAAGCAAGAACAGGTAAGTACTAGTTGGGCGTGGTGGCACACATCTGTAATTCCAGTAACTTGGGAGACTTGAGGCAGAAGGATCTTGAGTTTAAGGACAGCCTTAGCAAGTTTGTGAGATACTGCTTCAGAATAAAAATAAAAAGGGCAGGGGATATATCTCAGTGGCAGACAGCCCTTGGGTTCAATCCCCAGTATTGGGTTGGGGGGAAGAACAAATAAGGTGCTTAATCAAATAGCAGCTTAAAGTCTAAGGGAGAAGACAATTCATGAAATAATCACATCACTAGTTAAAAAAACAATCTATAATTATGGACCAGAGCCATTAAAAAAAAAAAAAAAAGACGTGTGTGAAACAGACACATGAATGAGGGAAGAGAAGGCTCTCTTTAAGAAAGTAATAACTAAACTGGCATCTGAATGATGCATAAGTGTTAATTCTAGGAAATAAAGAGGAAGCAAAACGAATTGAGGGAGGGAGAAGCATGTGCAAAGACATGGTAAGAGGAAGAAAATGTAGTGAGTATACAGGATGCAAAGAAGGCCATGAAACTCGGAGTGGACAAAACAGAAGCTCCAAAGTGGCAGTGAAAACAATAAAGACACTCTGCCAAAAATAGAAGAGTGCTCCTACCTTGATGCCAGTGTGTCACATGGCGATCCTTTTCTCTTATGTGAGTCTGGGTTAGCAGGGTCGGATGAACTGTCCCCAAGGCCACTCATGTTGAAAAACTTCACACCTAAAAAGGAAGGATAAGAGTAATAAATCTATCTTATGACCTTTGCAAACACATAACGGGAGGGGAAGCCCCTGCGTTTCTAAACATAGCCCAAATGTCTAAGCGTTTGTAGTGTCTCAATGAATAGATGACTACAACATCAAAAAGGCATCAGCATCTATACAAAACCACAAGGGCCATCAGCTACTCGTTGTTCCTACTTTTTTCCCCCTAAAATCTATAAAATAAAATTAAGAATCCCTTATAAAGTTACTGTGATCAATTAGGATTAAAATATTATTAGAATAATTAAGTAGATACTGAGTATTTTTTACAAAGCAAAAAAATCACTTTCATGTATAAATGTAAAAACTGAATAATAATACTCAGTTTTGTATTTGTTACTCAGACCCTACATCGCAAAAGAACTGAAAACTTTACTTAAGATTTTATATTAATAGAAAAATAAATAATACATATATAATTAACATTAAAGTGATAAATGAGGTTTGAATTTTGAATGTACTTTCCACTTTGAATTCCATACTCCTAATATTGTGTTTATGTAGTTAGGTGACGAAGATCAAATGTTTAGTCTATGTTAGGATCTTGGTATAGATGCCAGAGAACACAAAGTCATTCCCCCAGCATGCCAGCCAGGTCTCTCACATGTTGTGCCAGTTAGTGACTATGCTTAAACATCCCTTCTGATCTGTCCCTCATCAACCACTGCTCTCTGTATCATTCCTAATGAAATTCACGCTTTCTCTGGCCTTACAATCATCATGACATTTTGGATTTTATGAGTGCCCAGCAACACACCATACCATTCTCTTTTACTCCATCCACCCTCGTAAAAACAGAAAATTCTTGTTAAATGGAAAAACTTGTAGCTTTTCCTTAAATTTTAAGTTATGAAATAACTACAACACTGTATGTTGGCAGTCATGCTGAGAATGTTTATTATGAAGAATGTTGAAACCTGGGGCTGAGGTTGTGGCTCAGTGATAGAGCACCACATAAAAATAAACAAAATAAAGTTCCATCGACAACTTAAAAAAAAAAAAAGAATGTTGAAACCTATGAGGATCTCTCACTTGGCTTTAATTAATATATCTCAGGAATTCTTTTCTGTACTCCTAAAACTCACTCACTTCTAGCTCTTTTCTGAAGATCTTTCTTGGTGTACCAATAAGTCCTAAAATTTTAATCATGAGATTATTTTGTGCAACCCAAAGGAACATTTCCAATTTCTCCATGTTAAAAGTTTAGTTTGTAAAAATGTCCAGTCCTGAAGATTACAATCTCATAATGTTTTATTCTTCTTTCTCTTTTACTCCTCATTTCTAATCAGTATCCATATACTGCCAATTCTTCCTTAACAAGAGACTTTAGATCATCTCCTTCTTAAATCTCAGATACAGTTTTGATCCACACAGTTTGGAACCAAATTATTTCATTCTAAGATCAATGTAAGATCCTTTTATCTTGTTTTCAATTATAGTCATTATTATTTCTTTTTGGGGGGTGTGCTACTGGGGGTTGAACCCAGGGGTGCTCCATCACTGAGTTACATCCTAGCCCTTTTCACAAGGACTCACTGAAAAGATAAAATGTAAAAAAGATTTGAAGGAGGTAAAGGACAGAGCCATGAGACTGGTATCTAGGAAGGGCGCTCCTGGCAGAGAAAGAAAAAGAGCCTTAACAAAGAACACAACTGCCTTTGAGAAACTTGAAAGAGGTGAGTGTGGCTAGAATTGGGGAATGGGAGAGTAGGGGATGGGGTTAGCAGGATAATAGAAGGCTACAACATGGAAGACTTTAGAAAAGATGTAAAAAGACCTGACAATGATCATTTTAGCTTCCATTCTGAAACACAAATACAAAATAAGAATAGTCAGCTAAGTGATTTATTACTGGAACTAATAAAATAGAAACCATTTTTCCTGTGGAGACTCCTAGAAGCATAAATTAAGATGAACCAAATATCACAGAAGATGCCAATTACTTCATTTTCACATTTGAGTAAAATGTAAATATTATAAAATTTATTAATATAAAATGAAATTATGCAGCATTTTCATAAGGAAGTATCAATGTCAAACTTTTCAACAAAGGTAGAAATAAAAAAGAGAAGAAAATGATAAATAAGGAAGATGAAAGATATGACTTCACAGCTTTGCCTTCACCTCAAAGGAAAGAGTTTGCTGACTCCTGCTTCATGCTCAGGTGCCAGTTTTGTTTCCTTAACTACCCATCTTTTCTGTCTCCAATGAAATTGTCATATCCCACCCGGAATTCTACTTATTTTCAAAATCACTCCTGGACCAGGAAAAGTGGCACACCTGTAATCCTAGTGATTTGGGAGGCTGAGGCAGAAGGACCCCAAACTCAAAACCAGCCTGGGCCACTTAATGAGACCCTATCTCAAACTAAAAAATGAAAAAAGTGCTGAGAATATAGCTTAGTAGTAAAGCACCCCTGGCTTCAATCCCCAGTCCAAAAATCCAAAACAAAATAGAACTCCTGGACATATATTTCATATTACAATGTGCTTATAAGCTTAAATAAGCTGTAAATCCTTTGTCCTGTCTTCTAGATTATAAACTCAAAGGCAATTACTAGATCTCACTATATATTTAATAACATAATTCCTAAAATGTATAGAAGTTCAATAAATAAGTGATGGATTAAAAGTGATTAAGCTATTTTACTAATACTTAAAAAAATTTTTTTCAATACTGAGGATTGAACCCAGGGGTGCTCTACCACTAGGTTATACCTCCAGCACCTCTCCTCCCTTCTTTTGGAAACAGGGTCTCACTAACTTGCAGAGGCTGGCTTTGATCCTCCTGTCTCAGCCTCTGGAGTTGCTGGGATTACAGGCACATGCCACTGTGCCCAGTTACTTTTTAAAAGATGTTTAAAGAATATTTAAGAGTTTAATGGTTAAATATTTTCTAGAACCTTTTACAAAGGCTTTCAAATTCTTTCCTGTAATTGAGAAGCATGAATTTTCTTGAAGTCCTTTATCCCCTACTTTCAACAGAATAAAGAAAAACAAAAAGCAAAACAAAACTACCTTCTTGATCTAGAAATTGGAAAAGATCTCTTCTAATTTTGAAAACCTAAATAACTACTGTTTTGGAGAAATAACCTGTAATATTTTACAGTATTATAGAAATACAAAACCATGTTGCAGTTATATAATCAAAATAATCCAATCTTACAGACTGGATAATTTTGAGTAAAAAATAAATCTTGATCTAACACAAGATTCCCACACTATGCTACCCTAAGACTATACTAGCTGGAGTTTCACATCTGCTAAATTTATCTGAGATTCTGGGGCTAAGGAGAGAACAAACAACAATTTAACAGTACCCAGATGGGCTAGTCTACCAAAATAAGAATCAATAGTCAAAAAGCCCCAGGAGAGTCACCAACAATATGCTGATGGTCTGATTCCAATATTAACTGTTTTCTATCTACAAAACACAATAAATAGGTCAATGCAAAACCTCTGGTGAAGAAAAACTGTTAGAGTTATTATATTTGTATAGAATCTTCTAAAAAGAGGTAAGGTTTCTAAGTTTAAAAAACCCTACTCATTTAAAAATTATACCCAATCTCATACAATCTCTAGAGAGTAGTCTTAGGAACTAGAAATTGCATATACCTCTGTTTCTGTTCAAATGTACCAGGCTAAACCAAATTGATAGGGGCTGAAGAAACAGAACAGTGCTTTTTAATTAGGTTGAGTTAAAATTTTCTAGCTGGGCATGGTAGCACACACCTGTAATTCTAGCTCCTCTGGAAGCTGAGGCACAAGGGTCACAAATTCGTGGGCAGCCTGGGCAACTTAGCAAGACCCTGTCTCAAAATAAAAAATGAAAAAGGGCTGGGATGCAGCTCATTGGTAGAGTGCTTTCCTAGCATGCACAAGGCCCTGGATCCAGTTCTCAGTACTGGGCTGGGGTTGGGGGGTCTGCATAAGAAATTTGTCATTCATCTTTTAGATTTAACGGAGAACTGCCAAATTAGAAAAAAATCAGTAACAATTAGTTAATAAACAACTCTAATAATATACTTTAAAATGCTTGGCTGGCAATATATCATCTTATGATGAGAGACACATTGAGAGCTCAATCTTCCCATGCTGATGGGATGTATGAATAACTCATAATAAATAGAAAACTCAGAGAGGGGCATGGTGTAATTAATGATGGTGGAATGTGATGATCATTATTATCCAAAATACAGGTATGAAGACATGAATTGGTGTGAATATACTATGTATACAACCAGAAATATGAAAAATTGTGCTCTATATGTGTAATAAGAATTGCAATGCATTTCGCTGTCATATATAAATAAAAATAAAATAAAATAAAAAATAGAAAGCTCCTGTACTACATAGTTTCTACCAAGATACCTAGGATTCTTTAGAAAAAAAATTTTCAATGATGACTAAAATCATTCTCATGTAGTAAGACAGGATGGGGAATTTAAGATGTTCATCATTCTTTTTGTGGTTGAATAACTTTCCATTGTTTGCAGAGACCATATTTTGTTTATCTGTTCACCAGCTGATGGGAATTTAAGTTGTTTCTATTTTGGGGGTATTATCAATAATGTGAATATGGACATTTATACATATACATAAGTTTTTGTATGAATAGTCTTCAATTCTCTTGGGTATATTAGGTTATATTTCATATGTAACTCTAATTTTTTGAGGAACTGTCAAACTGTTTTCCATAGTGGCTGTACTACCTTAAATTCTCACCAATACATGAGGGTTTCAATTTTCCACATCCTTGATAAAAATAGTTACCTCCCTCTTCATTTAAAAAAAAATTATAGCCACCCTAGAGGGTGTGAAATAGTGTCTCATGGTGTTGATTTACATGTCTTTAATTGCTAAATAAAACTGAGCATCTTTTCATGTATTATTGGCTATTTGTATATTGTATTTGGAGAAATGTCAATTCAGGTATTTAGAGTTTTTTTTAAATAAA